AACTGAATTTAAGAGAGAGGAGAAACTGGGGAGAGGGAGACTGATGTTCACTTTCAGAGATTTACAGCTAAAAAGACTTATGTAAGAGTGAAGGAGATGAGTTATCAGTCTCCTTGGCTCTGCTGCTTTTAAGATGTCGCTCTGGCTGTGGTTCATTTTCAAGCTCACACACAGGCTCTCATCAAACACACAGACTCAGGACCTCAGTAAAGTGACAAAGTTGATCAGAAAGTTCAAGTGGGCTGTTTTTCTCTTGATATGCTTCTTCAAGTTCAACATAAAGTCTGTTTTTCTGCCGATCTGTCACATCAGATCTGACTCTGTATGCAGAAGCTACATATTGATCTGCTGGCCTGCTGCAGCGTCCTCCAAAGCCCCCCCGGAGATCATGGAGGAGGCCGGTCCTGGCCTCATCATGCCATCTTTTCTTTTTCACAGAGCAGGCGGAGGCCCCAGCTGGAGGTCTCAGGCCAGCAGACACACGCCAATATTTGGGTGGAGAGGCTGGGTGCAACGTCCCTGTCCGTTCCAGCTCGCTGCCTCTTTTCTTATCGGGTTAACAAGAAGCCGTAGCCACTCTTCCCCCCACCACACACACACACACACACACACACACACACACACACACACACACACACACACACATAAAGCTTCAAATTCATATTAGCATCAATAGAGACCACACATTTCTTATAATCCAGGGTCCAGATTGTTATGGCAGTTTGTACTCTTTCCCCCTCCTCCCCTTTTTGGGGGTTTTTGGTGACCTCTGAGACTCTTTTGTTTGCAGCCGACTTTCAAATGTCTATTTATTCACTGTGGTCTAATTGTCTTGTCGGCGAAATCCGTTTGAAATTGCTTGCTTTGCACATTTTGCATCACAATAGGAGCCATTGAGCGGGCAGCTCATCCAACTGTCCAGTGCCAGCTTCACCCCTTTCAGAGAGGAGCGTTTCATCTTTTTATGCACGTCCGCATTGTCTTAAAAAAATCCATAAATTAACCTTTGATGGAGCCCTGTCCCCACACTGGTACAAACATGTCTGCATGCTTGACTGGATGTGGCCTGTTACAGGCATGATGTCATGGCTGCAGAGAGGGAGTCTGTGGAGCGCTCTCTTGTTTACAACCAATTAACAGCCAGCTTTGAAGTGTCTTCAGTCCGCGTTGAAAAGATTGAACAATGTCGCTGCATTATGTCACTCCAGTGTCTCTTTGAGGGCATCCCTTTGAGATTCATGTCCTTTTTGTACACCAAATGTGTAATTAATCAACTGATAACTCATCTCAGACCCACACAGATTCAGTTTTACTCTCTATACATTTTCCTTTATTATTTTTCACATGATGTTGCAGCAGTTGATATAGTATCTCAGGAAGTGCTCATTTGGTATCTAAATCAGCCAGAGCTTGACTTGCAAAAGACTTGCAAAACATTCAGCTGTCTGTGTCCTTCATCATCCCTCCAGCATTTGAGTCCCAGGCTGACCCACACACATACATGAACACAAAAGCGCACAAACACGCAGTATCATGTGTCCATCTATCTGTTTTTCTCATGTCCTCAAAGCAATATGTCTTATCTCCACCGAGGAAAAACTCAGACAGGATTGAAAGGGTTTTTCCAAAGAAGAGGACTGATGTTTGAGTTTGTCAGAGTCGTATTTTGTTTTTCTACTTCTGTGATTCTTAGTGTTGGACACACCACTGTCTGTTTTAACTGTTCAAAGACTGTAGGTCAACCTCTTTAAAGACATATCAGCCTACATTAAAAACACGGTACAGCTAACAGCATCGCCTCTAAACATGACCATGTTCTCAACAATGAATATAAACAACTGCTGTCAATTTGGGTGTTCAGGCCTTGCCTTCGCCCTGTTTTCTAAGCGGTCAAAATGGATGGATGGATATTATTATTCACTATTCCATTTTGTGATCATCACTTTTCTTCAGAGCTTTCAAAGAACACAAAAAATGTTTCTCAGCTACTTTGTTGATCAGACATATAAGCCCTTTAAAAAGTTATACAGTTCAAATGTTGAAAGTAAATAAGGTAAATCCTAAGATGTGGCGGAAACTTTCAGAAAAAGTTTTGGTACACAAAAAAAAAAAAAAAAAAAAAACAGTTAATAATCGTGTTTTTGACATATGTGAACTGAGAACTAAAATTCATATAGATGCCTTTTTATGATTTATAAACACAAACAAGACCCTCAGCTGTATGATTGATTTTTTTATACTGTGATTTCTAAGAGAAGTCAGCCAAGCTGAGGAAACATACCTTCTTTTTCAGATGTTGCACATGTTTTCAAAGAATGACTATCAAAAGATGTCAGAATGTTTTTTTTTACTTGAGCATGTACATGACAAGATTTGCGAAGACTGCTTTGACCTCAAGGGGCGCCAAAATTGACCTAAACCGAAAGTTCCTCACAGGAGCTTTAAACAGCAATAAGAAACCCGAAGTTTATAAAAGGCTGATTTCCAAAATGTTTTATTCCCATACTAAAGGCTTGGAAAACACACACTTTATACACCCCCTTTTTTAAGTATGGGTCCTTTGTTGATATAAAACAAAGTTTTAATAGATTTTATTACATTAAATACAAGATAGATTATTAAGAAAAATAATCACAATTTAGATTTATTCTGTATAGACTTGCTGTCTTTAACTTTAGCCTACAATATGAAAAATTGAAATCAAAGGACCTTCGGTACATCTGAGGGCCAAAATCAAGCAGAAAAGAAAAACAAAAGCTTTGATTTAAAAATGGTCGATTGCTTATTATAATATTGATGATTGAGTAGCTGAGATGTGAAAAATGTGGAGCCCACAGGCCTCACATTCAGAACCACCTCCCTGACATTGAGTGCGGCTACATTCCTCTCTGCTTCTCCTCCCTGCCGGTCTGAACAGATGTGCCAGCCAGACATCTCCACACCCCACGCCCAGTCTGGACTGTGCTCTTCTCTCACGTAAACCTCAAAGCTGTGGAGGAGCATCACCTGACTGACGCTGAGTTTCACAGTCTCTAAGGTTTAAGGGTGAAAAAATCTGCAGTCACCAGAGCAGCAGAGACTCACATACCACATGACTAGAATGTGTGATATCCCCCCAAACGAGGAGGGGATCAGAGGAGAGAGAGAGCGCGGGCAAATCCTCTGAGAAAACCAACATCAGAAGGCGAGGGTGTTCCTGCAAAATACCAAAACTGCTCCTGACCTGTGTTTGGAAACTATCTGAGGCATGCTGTGAGTACCTGTGTGATTATATAGCAACCCATGAGCCTTTTATGACACAGCTGCTGAATTCCTCTCATTCCCTGAAAAACAGAGGACACACCAGGAGACACTTTTAACGAGAAATTTATTGACAGATTTTGAGGTGCTGGACATGAAGTAACAGATGGTTTATCAGCAAAAGCTTCATATTAGTATATTCAGCATATACTTTGATATACTGGGGAAACTGGAGGGTAGCACACAGAGCTAATGAAGGTTGTTAAGAAACATGAAGTTTAACGTTTGCTACAAAAATGCTTCGATTATTCACACTACCCAAACTGGGTTAAGACAAAGATACAAAATTAAGACCATGGAGAGATTTCTTTTTACAAAATGTGCAAAATTAAAGGCTTCTACATGTAAATGACAAGGTAAATTTACAAACTGTACACACTAAAACTTCCATTAAAGGTCCTGAAAAAGTACATGAAAAAAAAAACAATGTTATAGTTGCAAAGTATTTTTTTTCTACTTAACAAAACAAAACACGACGAAGGGGTTAGTGATTCAGAATTTGGCAACATTTATGACCATCGAGCATAATCATACTTTTCACTTAGCAAAAACAAAGTAAGAATAGCTTCTACAATGACAGAGTTGTGTAAAATAGTTTATCACAAAAATACATTCACATCGAAACAGAACTTCTACAAAATAAAGAAAATAAGATGTTACCCTTCCTTGTATGAACATAAAACTCAACATGACCCTGAGACACACAAAAAAAATATGTAGAAAAGCAACGTTCAACAAAAACGCATCTTCTTTGGCCATCATGGGCCACATTCTCTCTCTTCTGAGCGTGTATTTTAAGTGGAGGAGGAAGATACAAATTTAGCTCACCAAAATGAGGGAAGCCCGCGTCCAAAGTCTAAAAATACAGACAGGGAGATTGTTTCTGTGCACAAAATCATACACTTCCCCAAATGTCTTCTCTCCTTCCCATAACGCCTGGCACGGCAAAGGTCTAATTCAGTCTATCAGCAGTCCAAATAAATTACACCTGAGTAAACGCCCAGTGTCAGGATGGGAGGGAGACCACAACAAAGCGCGGCGGGCTTTTCTTTTTTGATGTCCTGTCGGCGCGGGATCCTTGTGGAGTCTGTTAAAGTGGTAATCTACTGGTTTGATGATGGAGTGAGTCAGTGGAGCAGTGCGGGGCCCAGACAGTCACAGTAGAAACGTCTGAAGATCAAACAGCACATGTCTTGGCCGTCTATTTCCTTCGTATGTTAACGCAGAGTCTGTGCAGTATACTGTACATAGCAACGAGTCCAGCTCAGGCTACATGGAGAAGTTACACAGGAAGTATCAGTAAACAGTTCAGGTGGGAAAAAAAGGCGGCAGTCTTTGAGCTCTTTCCAAGCCGCCGCAGCTGATAATGCGGTTCTCGCTGCACGGAGGAGCCACAGCAGGAGTACGCAAACTCTTCCTCGCCCTCCTCTTCGACAAAGTCGGAACACATGCCTGCATACCAGACACCATGGCTGATCTGTGGAAGGAGAGACAGAGAGATTAATGTTGAGGTGCTGCTGTATGGGGACCAGCCACATGATCAGCGAGACAGTCTGGACATTCTCAGGGAGCCTGGAGGAATGCAGGGACCCTGGTCCTCCTCCGGGCTACACATCAGCTTATCACCGTGCTATTTTATCAGCCTTAGCCACATAGCGTTCATAATGCAGTTGGACGCAGAATTATTTAACCGAAAGCCTCTTGGCATGTGGGAATAAGCTGCTAGAGCAATTTATGGGGGTTAGGTAATAAATATCTGAGGGTGGCAGAGGAGAGAACCCCGATCTGTAAACACGAGCTCCTCTGGATGCAGATTGAACAACAAAAATAAACCCTCTGCTTCATCCGGATATCATTCATAGTACTGTAAGAGGCTTTCTTTGTGGCTCTATTTCAAAACTTGGTGGATATTAAACACCATTTATCCTTAAACACTGTAATGACTTCTCCCCTTCCTCCTCTGCTGTTGTGATTTCCTTTTTTACACTGAAGCACCCCAGCATGATTTCTACCTCTGATTTGCATATTTCAGATAACAACTTAAGCCTGTCAGTGCAGACAAAAGGATGTTTGTGCGCTCTCTATTCTGGGAGGAAGACAGTTGACAGTTACAGGCGAGCTCTGCTGGGGGGCCTGTTTGGATAACCTAATGAGTTCTCATTTCCATGGCTCACAAAGCCGGTTGATACTACAGAAGCCTCCGCTGATCCGAACGCATCTGTTACTGTTGTGAATACCTCGCCTGAAGCAGAACAGTAGGACACAATAGAGAGACAGAGAGAGAGAGAGGTAAAGAAAAGTTACAAACAAGCTTCGTGGAAAGATGATAACTTTTGTAATGCCTCTGATCAGCAATGTTGCAGCCTGCAGTCAGTTAGCTTTGAAAAGCACAAAGACTGGAAAAAAGACAGAAACAAGTTGGCTGTTGCCCTCCGAGTTAACAAAATCCCTCAACCTCACTAACAGATGAATATATTCTCATTTTAAAACTCTAAGAAACAAAAGTATGAAAAAAATATTTCAAGAGTTTGATGGCGATTGGTTATTTGCAAGCCAAACTCTAATGAAGCAACGTTCGTTCGAGGCGCTTTCTGTGAACCTGGTGGAAGTTTCCACTGCTGTTACCATCTCTCTGTCTGTTTATGTACATGTACAAGGGTCACTGGCTGCACCGCTTCAGTCTTGCTGCTGGTCTCTAGAGCGCATGAGATGAAGAGCATTCCTCTGAATCTGAGACACTCCGCTGCTCTGTTCTGTTTCAGCCAGGACAATGTCACTGTTTCAAAGGAGCTGCCGTCATACCTAGAAATCTTCCTTACTACAGCACAGAGGAAGGTCATGCTGAAATGAAGCTGCACTTTATCAAAAGCTAGATTGTGCTCTGAGATTGCATTTTTAAAATTCTCATGTCTCAATCATTAAAAGTTTGAATTGACTAAAAGGCTCTGAAAATGGACTCACAAACCTCTCTGCCAGGTTGGAGTGTGATTTCTCGAGTGCAGGTTGCTAACAGGTGTAGATAGGGCTGGGCGATATGGCCTGAAATCAATATCACAATATATCGAGCGCCTTGATAACGTTAAATGGACGATAACTTCTCCACAAGATGCTCACCCCCTCCAACATTAACTTCATCTACTTCAGCCGCCACAACTATTGAACCGTCCTCCATCTTCTCACCTGTCTTTCCCTCTTTGTTACAGACTGGATGGGGTAGAGTCACGTCTCTGATGTAGGACAGCGTCTTAAAGGGACATGAGACCAAAGCCTACCTACACACATCCAAATTTATTTATTTTGACTCCAAATATACAGTTATGGGCAAAGTGACCTTGGTTATTGTCTTCAATTTCGGTATCAGTAAATTTTCGGTTTCTCGCCCAGCCCTAGATGAAAATCACCTTGGTGCATTGCAGTAGCCAGTGTGTGCTGCTGTGTAAAAGATGAGGGAGTCCCTGTGTCCTTCAGCTGATGACCAAGTCTTAAATAAAATGTCTGGCTCTGGCACTCTCTGAGGTTGAACCTGCCTCCGTCTGTCTGGGGCCTCTTAAAGTGGGAGTGATGCAAGCTTTAGTTTTACATAAGAAAGATAACAACAAAACCTTCAACTACTCTGTACATTAAAGAGGATCAATGTGAGACTCAAAGAACATCACAACATTAATCTCCATTATTTTCCAGCATCAACTGCGCTCGGAGCTCCATCTGCGTCTCCTAAAACAGGCCCAATTACTTGCAATGCGCCACATCGAAGCTGAGTCCTTTTTCTTTATCTGTCCCTTGTGTCCAACAAAGCCTGTGCTATGTTTACTAATGACCACCCAGACTTTCACTGTATTGACTAATGTATGAATCAGCCTCACTTCATTTACATTAGTTTGCACTGTTTTCAGGGACGAATAAAGGACTTGAGCACGAGCTCTGAGAGACAAGTATCTGGGCGCAGCAGCAGCTGCGGGTGAAAATGAGGCATTTCTTGATGAATCCTTACTGAAACTCCAGTTTAAGACTAGAACAAAGAGCGTCTCTGTCGATGAATGCTCGCCACTTCAGTGCTACTTCAGAGGCCCTAATATTGCGTAATTCAGATTAATTACCAGGCAGACACACTCGGTGCCATCCCAGCTGGCTCTCCAAAGAGGCCCCTGTAACTGTATGACAGCTCGTCTCTTTTTAAAGACGTAATCAAATTAGTCTGGGTGATTATTCAGCCATTTTCAGCATCTTTTCCCCTTTTCCTTTTTTGTTACTCGCAGCGCGGAGAAAAGACCAATAAAAACTCCATTAGGTTTATGCAAATTTAAGCAGCCATACCAAAGACTGTAATGTGGCAGATTGATTACTCAAGGGACCGGAGACGAAGTGTGTGCGCACGTGCTGACTATAACTGTGCATGTGCGTCTGAAGTGAGTAAGGAAAGGGGGGGGGCTTGTTGTACACAGATGCCACAATAAAAGCCTCATTCAGCTTGTGTTCATGGTGGCCCTCACAGCCAGGCATTAATAAAACATTAGTATTGAGTGACTGGGGGCCTCTGCCCTCCTCCTCCCTGATCCCACTGTGACCTTTCCATTTTACAGCAGCTGTCTGGGGATGCAGAAAACCCGCTGAGGACTCCCTCTGTGGCCCCCTGACCCTTCCAGGTGGACGCAGAGCCGTGCCCACCTCAAAAGGACGTCGGTTGAAGTCGTTAAAAACAGAGAATGTCGATTATGTCTGTGATTTTTTTAAGAGCGGGGAGGAGGGAGGGAGGGAGAGGAGAAGGTAGGATGTTGGGGGTGAGGGCTGGAACATAAGAGCTAAAGCAGAGATAACAGTCATCTTCAGGACTGTGTTGCGAAAAACTGTGCTGAACTTTCGGTGAAGATCTGGCATCAACAAGTTACCCTCTGCTACTCTAACCCTCGCAGACTAGAATATGTAACATTACAGCACTTGCAGTTTCAGTTTTTGTTCCTCTGTCTCGATGTTACGTGCTTAAACTCATATTTACCTCTCCTGCCTGGACCATAACAAAAACAGACCGTTATGTTTTAACATTTACAAATACTTTTCCATCAACTGCGGCTTCTGGTTTTGGCCCTGGAGTCTGCGGTAAGTCACATCTGGTGGAAACGCACGGGGCTGCAAACTACTGTAGGTGGTGACAAAAAGGGTTGAGAAGCTGCTAATCCCATACAGACCACAGGACGAGAGAAAGGCCAGAACCACGGGTCGACGTTAACAAATCTATACTAATAGGAATGCAGGCCACACCTTCATTCCTCCCAAATTAGAGTAAGGATGGTTGGCTTTTTAAAGGACGGGCGATACTAGCAAAGTGGCTGCCTTCTCTGTGTGTGTGTGTGTGGGGGGGTAGAGTAGTACGAGTGGAAAATGAATGGTTTCACTACTGTGTTAAAAAAAACTCAACAATACTACTAGAGAATACTTCAGCAGCTGACTCGGAGCATTCGGTCCTACCATTGACATGAAAAGAAACAGACACACAAACACACGGACAATTATTTTCCCTCTCTGACCCCAGCTGAAAGTTGACAACCTCAGGAGGAGAGTATTTTTAGGAAGGCATTAGTCTCGGCTGCCAAACGGCGCAAAATATAGCTTTGCTTCTCCAGGTCTTACTCTCAGCCCTATTCATCTCCTTCTCTCTGCACGTGCGTCTTTGTAGGCGTCAGTGTAACAATATTACAATTAGTCGAAAGCAGTACAACATAGGCAATGATCCAAATGACAACAATGTCCTCTTTGCACAGATGTGTTCCTCTCTGAGTCCTTTCTGCAGCTTGCTAAATTTTAACTCACTCTTCCCTCCTCCCCAGTTGGAGTCATTTAGAGGAAACATCCCAAATTACAAAATCTGAGCATATATTCTGCAGTAAGTAAACATAAAGGCAGTCAGCAGCTACATGGACGCTGCCTGCCCTGGCTGAGTGACTTCATAAGGATGCGTTGCTCTTGATCTTTCATGGCCAGCCTGTCTGTCTCCTTCCTGCTCCAGAAAACCTTTACTACCATGGAGACAGTGGTTTATACCAGCAGCAGCCTCGCAGCACTAAGCCTCTGCTCCATTATAGCCAGATGTTTACTGTAGACAGAAGACACACAGAAGCCCGCTGCTGCTCACTCGCTGCCGCTCACTTTTACTTTTGAGGTTCTTGAAGGCATCAAATAAGCTTCTTTTTTTTTTAACATAGATTGATGGATATTCATATCAGTACAAGGAACCGTGGTACACTTTGATCAGCAAGTAATTCCACCCTGCTTCATGCAAAAGTGTGACATTTGGAAGAGAGGCCTGTTCACTCGTTTCTTTTGTGAAAATACTATTAGTAAATTTGAAGCCTGGGCCACAGTTTGTCTTGGTCACCTTGGCACTGAGACTGTAAACAACTTTGGTTGATGGTTTTTCCATCTGACAAAGCCAGGGTGACCATTTCCTTCTGTTTACAGTCATTATCCTAAGCTAATCTTCCTGGCTGCCAACTGTCGCCCTCTTTCCAACAACAGATTTGAGAGTGGTTTTTACCTTTTCATTTCCTCGGGTAGAAAGATAAATAGGTTTGATGTTGCATAAGCGAATAAATTACAGTGTTGGCATTTGTTTCCAGTCAAGACAGAATGAGCTGCAACACAGTAAATCCCCCAGCCTGGTGTATCAGAGTTTGAAAAGATCACAAAGCAGGTCTCACCTCCTGAAACTCAAAACTATCTGAACCACCTCACCGCCCTGACCTGAAAATCCTAAAAAAAGAGTCTTCTCTTCTAGTTTCACTGGTTCTTATCTACTAGCTCGTCCATCTCAGCACTGTCAGCCAGTACAAAAAAAACTGGAAACACCTCGGGAGGTGTCTTTCATCTCACATGAAGCTGTGAAAAAATGGCACCTGTTGTTCCCTCAGGCAGAGCGAATCCTCACTGGTATGTTACATTTCTGCCAATCATACTTTCATATCCCGGGGATGGATCTCATTCTTTTTCTGTACCTCCACTTCTACATTTGCAGGACTACTTATCTGACTTCTCACTTCTCATGTTTGAAGATCTTGAGTGGCTTTGTTACTGAAACACAAGATGACCAAAGGTTTGCGTTAACCTGTATCAAAGCTCACTCAGCTTCCAATACATGTCATAAAACCATTTACTCTTAAAAGGTGACTCATCATATGCAGTTAGTAAGCACTCAGGTCCATCCCCTGTAGGGCCCTTGTCCCCCTTGCCAGCCGTGCAAGCACAGACCTGATCCCTGCCTCTCTGACTCGCTAATGTCAGGGACAGAGGTCCTGAGTTTCAGCTCTCACTCTGCAATTACCAACGCCGCTGACATTCCTCCTGCTCCTTAAACCCCGGACTCCACTGTGTTTATCCAACACTCGGCCGTCACAGCAGCTAGATAATGTGTAACTGTTACCACTAGCAACCCTGGAAACAGTGAAGGGACTTAAAAAAACTGGCTTGGTCTGGTTCAAACTGACATTCACCTGGGGCTGTTAAATGATGCTGTTGTTTGAGCGAGTTCTCATATCCCGTATTACAATAAAGGGAACACTGTGTACCGCGTAGCTCGTATAATAGTCATGTTGTCTGTGTCACTCTGGGGACACTACAATTACTCACCGAAGAAACTTCAGACAGTCAGCGCATCTCTACGCCGAGAGGTACTTCCACGTGCTGACGAAGGCGGTGGGAATGAGGGAGTAGGGTACACTGGTCACGCTGTCCCAGGAGTCTGATGATGGATCGTAACAGTCTAATGTTTTACACCTCTGAGCCCCAAAGTACCCCCCGACCACGTATAGTCTGTTTCCTGATGCCACCGCATGGCAGCTGATCCGTTTGGCTGTCACATCACCGAACTTTGACCACTGGTACGTCTCGCTGTTGAACCGGTAGGCAGAGCTGGCGGAGAATTCAGTGTCGCCTCCAATCACCACAACGTGGTTGCCGACCACTGCTGCCGCGGTGTAACGCCACAACTGAGGGCAGGCAGCTGGCACAGACCACCGGTTCTGGCAAGGGTCAAAGCATTGCACCTTGGGATATTTGTCTCTGTTTACGCTAGTGCCCCCGAAAGCAAAGAGTTTGTTTTTGGCACCGACGACGGCGGCGTTACTCACGCCCTCTCTGAGCGGAGCCACCAGAGTCCATTTGTTTGTCTGAGGGTCGTACTGCTCCACCTGTTTGAGAGACACAGATGGAGATGCTGGGAAGGATCCCGTGAGTGAAGTGTGTCCTCCTACGACAAACAGCATGTGATCAAGCTCCGCAGATCCGTGCCCAAATCTGGCGACCAACATTGGTGCAGCTTTGGACCACTCATCGTGCAACGTGTCGTAGACCCAGACGTCTTTAGAGGCCCCGTTTTCAGAGCCGCGTCCTCCAGTGACGTAAACCTGGCACCACAAAAGACAAGTCATGTTTAAAGTCTGTCCTTAAAGGATAACAGGGAACTTGTGAAATTTTAGTTCTAGGTTAATGCTTACCTTGCAACCAATAGCACAGGCGCTGCATTCTTTCCTGGGGCTGGGGATATCTGTCTTGGGGGTGATCTCCTTGGTCTTATTGTCTATCATGTAGACTTTATCACACATGAACGTCTGTCCTCCCAGCAGAAGCAAAGCCTGGCTCACCTTCCTCGGCCGGGCACAGAACCCTGTAACAATCCCATCGTTCTGAAGGATCCTCATTTTGCACCGCACGGCATCTTCGACAATCTCCCGACCCACCTTGTGGCACATCACTAACTCCTCTGAAGCGACGTTGTTCAGCAGATACGTTTCAGGGAGCAGCGCCAGGCGAACACAGCGCAGCAGCTCGGGCAGCTCGCTGTGCCTGCGCTCCATGTCCGCCTTCACCCAGTCGATAACGGCCTCGTACACCAGGCTCTCATCTTCCACCTCCAGCTCTTCACTCAGGATAAGCTCCTGGACTTTGTCTCTGGGCAGGCTGAGGAAGTCCTCCGTCTTGAAGAGAGTTGCGAAGTTTGCCAGGCACATCCTCCACGATAGCTCATAGAGTCTCTGGCACTGGTGCGCATCTGACAGCAGCATCATTCCTAGACAGTTCGACTGGTGGAGGTTTTTTTCTAGAAACTCTGCGGCTGCGTCTCTGATGTCATGAAACTGAAGCATATCCCCAGCTTCGAGCAGCGACTCTGCGTTCTCCTCATTGATGATTATTCGAGCTGAGTAAGCATAATCGAGCAGCAGCTCCAACACCTCTGGATGGAGGGAATCGTGGAAGTTTACGTCAGCGTCTCGACTCTCCCGGAGACCACCGCTGAACATGGCCTCAAAGTATCGGCTACAGGAGGCCAGCACCGCCCGATGGCAGGGGAAGGATCTGTTTCCAGCCTTGAGGACGACATCTGTGAAGACTTTTCGTTTGCGTAGCAGGTTGAGTTGTGTCAACAAGCTGTCTGCATGTGAAGTCTTATGAAAGAGCTGGATATTCATGGAGCCTGAACTGGAGCGGGACTTTCTATTTTCATGGTTGCTGACAGACATCTTGACTTACACCTGGAGGAGGAAATAGAGAATAAAGAAATAAGAGCACATGGGTGTGATTACACTTTGTTAGAGCCATTTGTGCACTACTGATAATTTGACAGATAATTTATAATTTTTGTTATTTATCCTGATTAGAATTCTGAGAGACTGAACAGTTGTTTAGTTTTACTAGTTTAATTGAAGCCGATTACAACTGCAGCTCTCCTATTGGAGGAGACATGTAATGTGAGACCTGCGGGTTTTTCTTGGGTAACTAGTGCAGCTGCAGTTTTTGAGTTTTTGACCGTGTTTACATCAGGTCTCGATTTCGTCATTATTATTTGGTTTTGTTATGCAAAGTAAACTTCCAAGTAAATTCAGGAAAGGAAAGATCGACGACTACAGTGTTTTATTATGGAAATACGCGTCAACTACATGCTCTGGTTCGTCACCTCAGAGGGTCTTCAATCATTAGACGCAGCTGTACTCACAACACCGTTTATGACAGCTGGATAAAGATAATTTGAGATAATTTGCGCAGGTCAAGCCAACTTTCTTTTGATGTGAGCGCCGCCATAAACTGTCCCCCGTTTATGATTAAACAACACTCGCCATGCCAACAGGTGATGAATGGGCAGTTCAAACATAAAACACTCTTATCAGTACACAGAGTTGCAACGGAAATGAACTTTGGACTCTACAGATTAAAGGAGATCAGATAAGCAGCGTTCCCACTAAAACAAGTCGTGAACACTGTGTGACAGAGATTTACTCTAGAAAACACACAGCACTGTCATCTATAAATCCACAAATAAGCTCCTCTAACAGGCTTTTAATGCCTCCTCCTGTGATTGATGAAAGAAACAGCACCTGGGTGTGTTGTCCTACAGCACCTCTTTCCACCCCTATAAACATTGCAGGGCTTTGAGTCACAGCCACGGCAGGAGCCATGAAGTTTCTGTCAGCCTGTTCTTCTCCTCCTCCTCCTCAGCTGGTTCAAGTACATCACTGGTGCCAAAGGCAGAGCTTTAAAGCCCACATAAGATGTGACACCTCAGACCAGCTCCTTGAGGAGAATTATGTAACCACTGTGCAATAGATGAAAACCTTACTTTTCTTTTGAGCATATCTAATACACATGTGGAAAAAGCCTGAAGCTATGGCATGAATTTTGAATCTGAGGAACTATCATACATGCTGCAGGGAAGTTAGAATGATTCCTTATTAATATAGTCAGTAACAACATGCTATTATTAGACAGGCAAGCGTTTTCTGAAAATCTAGCCATCTGTATATCTATATCACGGCAGAGAGAGCAACCAAAAACAAATGCCTCTGTTTAAAGTGTCTTTTGTCTTAAAATAGTCCAATTAAAGCCAGCCTTTCAAAACCCACTGAAAAGAGGACGGTGACTTCCGTGGAGGGACGCAGCGTGAAATCGAATTCGTTTTGCGCAGTAAACGTGAAACTACGGCCAGCACTTCAGCATGCGCTCAACTTTCCTCTCAAGTTAGCAGCAGCAGCCACAAACAGCCAGCCTGCCCCAAACAGCAAACATCAAAAAGACTCAATGTTGAAGTCTGTAACTTAACTCTTTACTCCCCGGAAGTTTGACAGAGTCAGAGAAATGCCTCTTTCAAAGTAGGACCTCATTTCGCAGGATTATTAGGCTTACCTTCATATGAGCAGAGCAGATCCGGATTCCTTTATCTCGGTTACAACTTGTTCCGTTGATTCGTTTGAAGTAGAGGCTCGAGTTAGAGTTGCACACCCCCCGCTTTAAAACGTGTATCGCGTTGCAGAGTTTTGTGAAAAGGTTGAGCCATTTGTCCACGTCGCGAGCGTTGAGTCTAAACGCGTGAATGAAAGCGTAAAACAAAAAGTTGAAACTCGGTTTGTTGCCTCCTAGTAGCCACGCAGCCTGCAGGGGAGCGACAAGCAGAGAAAGAGCAGAGGCAGCCGTAGTGTTCACACTGGCTCCTCCTACTCCAACCGCTATTGTCCAATGAGCTAAAAAAACACCACAGCAAAGGCTGGCTTTATTCTTCATCCAACTTCAGGGTCAGTGCATCTCAGCATAGTGAAAAAGACCTGCCAGAAAGCTGCAGATATCTTTGTTTCTGGGGGTTTTATTGAAGGACATATGTAATTTACCACTAATAAATAAAGTGTAGTACTTGAGAAGCTCGTCTCCAGGCAAACCAATATAATTTTCACGATACAATCAAAAAGGGCTCTTGAATTATATAAAAATGATGGGCATTTGTATGTTTAAACACATTAGAGGTTGGAAAATAGCTGAATATAATATTTCATTTTCAAAGTGTGGGAGGTAAAACTAAGACTCAAGGCTTTTCTGGAATAATCAGTTTTAAGATTCAGATTTTCAATTTCCTTGACTGTTAAAGCTCCTATGAGTAGTTTTTTTGGTGTTAAAGGGATATTCTGGCATAAAATTTATGTAGGGTCAAACACACCGTAACACAGAGTTAGACACACCCTCGAGAGATGAATGTTGCCGACCGCTTGCTTCTCCAGTTATACCAACTTTAGTAACGACCACATGATAGCAATACACGGCAGTCTAAGGAGCCATCAACAAACCTCAACCAAAAAGCCACTCTATAGCCACAAATAATGCTCAGAACAGCACCTAACTTCATCAACAGTACATGTGGGGTCCCAGCCATATTACTAGCCACCAAAACATCTTTTTAACTTAGCCTGATTTCTTTAGCAAAGAGACTAAACACAACTCACCTTCTCTCTTCCAGCAGCCGCTTGTTTGTAGCGAGACATCAAACGAGTCCAAACTGACTGCAGCAGGATGACACAGCTCAAGGAAGAACATTTATGATCATTTCTTCATGGAAATGCAATCAGACCGAGACGCTAAGGCAGAAGAAGTACCGCGTCGTTCTTTTGATTAATATGATGATTAGGAGCAATTCACAGCGGCTCCTCAGACCACTGTGAATTGCTATCATGCGGTCGTTTCCAAAGTTGGTATAACTAGAGAGAAAGCAGTCGGCAACATTCATCTCTTGAGGGGGTGTCTAACTCGGTGTTACGGTGTGTTTGACCCTAAATTAATTTTACGCCAGAATATCCCTTTAATGACAACAAAGTGTGCTGAAATTCATACTGATGCTTTTCCAAGATATCTAAAAATAAACAATATGATTAACTTCGAGACTGATTATTTTTTTATGCCTAAAACCAGCGTCAGAGGGAAGGTGTCAGCCAAGCAGCAGAAGAAACAACCCTGGTTGTATAATTTCCACATAGAAAAATTCAAAATCAGTGACACATTTGACTTTCAAAGGTTAGCAGAATTAGTTTTTTGGTCAAAAATCAGTCAGCAGGCCAGTTAAGAACAAGAGTAGCAGAAAGCTTTGTCTACAGGGGAGATTCATGTTATAACATACCTTCTATGTAAAAGATAACCTATGTCCTATGAATACTTATCCTGAATGTTTGTCAGTCTCTACATTTGCAGCAGTCACAGCAATGTCCACGCTCTGTTAGTCAGCCCCACACAGCCATCAGTCTGAGTGATCATATGATGGCAGGTTAAAGTCCCTGTGAGGACCATGAGATCGGTCTCAAGCTGAATTCCTGACATTTTCTGCAGGATTTAAGTTCTTGCGAGTTATCAGGACAAGACTGCGGTCAGTTGAGAACCGGCCAAGTCAGCCTGCACATACAAAGAATTTCGCTGTCTGCTTGTGTATTTGTGTGAATTTTCTAAATACTCGCTTGTAATTGCTTCATAAGTGGGATCCAAGATAAAAAATATAATTTCCAAGAAATACAGAGCAGATTCCAGCGTAAAGTTTATCAATCCACACAAGGTTCTTTGTTGGGATATGCCCCTACATGCCTGCACATGTGATTAATAGCATTAATAACAGCCTGATTCTAATTAGGTGTGCCGTCCTCAAGGCTCTGTTACTCCACATACTTGGGCAGTTGGTCAACTTGTCAATGAAATGAAACAGGGATATTGTACATTCACATGGCTCTGCATATGATTTTTCCATAATATCTTCCAGAGAAAGATCCGGTGGAAGTCTGCACAGAAAAAATAAAGAGTGAAAATCATAAATGTGAAATTGAATAGCAAAGATAAACTTGAAATAATTTAAGATCATGACATCCTCGGGAGAAAATAACTCACTTTCTAAACTGACTGACAGATAGAGGCCGGCCACGCACCAAGCTGTCTGATCTCCAAGCAGCACAACACCAGCGTCAGAGTGGATGCCACACTGCTCATGTTTCCTCTTCCTCTCATTCATTCCCTCTTACTGTCACTCAACAGCTGCTTTTAAAGATTAAAAGCTGCAGCAGTTTGCAGACTGTTTGTGTGTTCATATAAGCATGTGCGAGTATTTTTCACTCAGCTTTCCTTCTGTCTCATATTTTCCCATGTTTTCCCTTTAAATTTGACTGCTAGAAACATCTCAATCACTATTATCTTTCTTTTTATAACACTTAAAAGCCCTCGCCCGCTAACAATCTTGGGTGACCTTAAAGTTAGAAGCCATAAACACATTCCTTGGTCCGTCATACTCTCGTAACCATTGTTGGTGCAGAGAGTAGAGGCCCCCCTTGTAGTTTCCTGCGCCGAATGCTTTTATACACACAAGTGTGCCTAGAGAAGATTAAGAATTAAAGCAGATTAGATTAACGAACTCGTGATTGTAATCTAGGGTTAATTCATTTTGCTGCACTTTAACCCAACCATCCCCTCCTCGATCCAGCCCACTGGCCTGCAGCCAAACTGATCTGAAGTCTTATGTGTCTGCATGTCCTAAGGGTATCTGTTCGTGTGTGAGTGCAAGCATTGTGTAACTGTTCATTAACCACTCTTAGGCGAGAACGCCACAAATCAGACACCCTCCATTTATTCTTAACCCCCCTCCCAGCATTGCATGACGCTCCTCACAGAGGGTCTGTTTAATGACAGTAACTGCCACTCTTCTGTTGTCTGCAGACTCACTGTACCACATATTTATTCTCTCAAGGCAGGTGGTCTTCTCAGTGAGGTCATCCTGTCTGAAACATAAGGAGCGGGGTCCTGTGGGGGTCATCCACATGGCCAAGACTCAGCACTAAACAATTTGAAGGGTTCTTATGACTTTCTATTTACACAGTTGGCTCCCGATTTAAACACAGCTACCCAGGCAAATTAAAAAGTTAAGTTAAAACCCAACTTATCTTTAAATTTATAGAGGTGAGACAGCTGAATGACCTCCAAATAAATAAATGTAAAGACAAACATGAGACCAAAAATACAGTATGTATGTGCTATGGAGCTCAGTCTTATTATGAATGAATTAAATTGGACTTGTTTCTTAAATAGCCTTCTGTTGAGGATCACTGTGAGAGTTGTAAAAGTAATGTAAATTTTCCTTGGTGTAGATGTAACTGCTGCTGACTATGTTAGTGCACATTTCAATATTTCTGAAGATGTATGTGTAGATGTAGATATAGGTTTAGATTTTGGCATTTATAATGAAGTAAGTGTGCAAGTGTCTGTGTGTATAAGTAGGTGTACATCCGGGTGTACATTAAGTTTTTGAATTTGGTTATTGAAGATTGTTGAAGTATAGCAAGATAGATAGATAGATAGATAGATAGATAGATAGATAGATAGATAGATAGATAGATAGATAGATAGATTGAACAAAATTTTAACTTTGTAACCGACCACTTTTTCATGGTGACAAGTATTCATTTCCTTTGATCAGTAGTTTAAAGAATCTCACTACTGCTCAGAACCCTATTTAGAAAAAAACAACAACAAAAATGTTTTGGCATTTAATTTTTACTGGACTTTGTCTCCACCGTGTGGTATACTCGTATGTATGCATGTATGTGTGGTTTTTGGAGAGGCGTGACCAGCCTTTGTACCGCATAATTTCACTAGATAAAGTTAAATCGTGTTGTTTTCAATTATAAGTCGCTTTGTTAGCTTTATAGTGATATTTCCTATTAATCTAATCAGAAGCCTGTTTCAAGAATTAATTTCAGTTTGCTCTCACAAATTTTGTATTGATAACCAAAATATTTTTGATTTGTGCTCTTGTTGTAAGACCAAACTTGACTATAACCAACTTTCTCAATGATTAAACCTTATGCAAACATCAATGGGATGGTGATAAGCAACATGTTATTCACCTGTATTTTTTTTTTTTTTCGGATTAAGTTTTTTTTCAGCTTTTATGTGATTTTGTCATTTTTAAAACCTTTTACGCTTCTTATTCATGTTTGATAGTCCCTTCGCTCTCAGGTTTTTGTGATTGGCTGGGTATCATAGGCTGTTATAATGTCTTTGTTTTAATGTCTTCATTTTAATGACCTCTCAGCTCATGTGACATTCATCAAAGCTTTTATGTCTTTCACAAATTTTTATTTTATTTTTTCTTTATTGCCAGTAATGTGTCATTTCCCCCAAGTGTTTTCTTCTTGTTGTTGTAACGTTGTTTTTATCTTCTTTGTTTTCCTGCATGTTAAAGCACTTTGTTAGCTAGCCTGTGCTATATAAATAAAGTTATTATTATTATTATTATTATTATTATTATTATTATTATTATTATTATTATTATTATTATTATTATTATAGTCCGCAGTTGACGTTAATTCCGGCCATGTGCCAAAAACTACATTTCCCTTGTCGGAATCTCCTTAACGGAAATGACGTCTGCAGGCCTACGCTGCTGTCAAGGGCACCGAACACTTATGAACCTAACAGCCGCTTCTGCACGTGCATTCTAAGGAGAGCGTTACAGTCTGTGATCGAGGAAAAGACTCCGGTAAAAACATGGACGGGTTCGGTTCGGACTTCTCTGCGGGAGGATCAGGGGGTAAACTGGATACTGGGACGATTATGGAGCAGGTTAAAGTCCAGATAGCTGTGGCTAACGCACAGGAGCTTCTACAGGTAAGTCAATGGACTCAGGCTAGCTGCTAGGCTAGCACAACTCACCTAGCATAAAGTGTGAAGTTATAGGTGAACCGTAAAAGCTCCTGGACTCCTAGTCAATGTTAAAGATGTTTACATATGTATATTTCACCACCGTTACATTGTGTCGTCTATAGACACAGCTACACAGGCTTGTCATTGAAATCCCGCACACCCACATCCACTGACACTGACTACTACATGTAGATTTATACTTTATACTTTATATTTATAACTTTACCCTGAGTGTTGCCCTTTAAAATATCAAACTAATTCTCAAACTTAATGATGTCTTTTGCTATATTTCACCATTTAGTGACAAACTATAAAAACATTGTCCTTGTGTTTCAGAGAATGACGGATAAATGCTTCAAGAAGTGCATAGGTAAACCAGGGAGCACGCTAGACAACTCTGAGCAGGTATGTATATACCCTAATCATGATCTGTACATAGAAATAGCAGATCAATTGCTGTGTTAAGAGTCCATTCATTTAAAAAAGTCAGTTTTTAACAGTATTACTTGCATTCAAACACTAGTTCTCTAGTGTTGGACACCAGTGAGGAATTTTGTGTCTCCTTCAGTCATTTGATAGTAAAGGCCTAGGGGTTGTAAGAGTTGAACTGATGGCAAATAAAATCAAAAATGTTATTTTCAGAGAGTAAACATTATTTTATGCTGCATATTTCTATATTAGACAACTTATGATGAAAATGATTGTGGACTAATTTACAAATTCATGATGTGTCCCTCCTACAGTTGTCATTTTTCTCACACTCTTTCTCACAGAAATGTCTCGCCATGTGTATGGACCGGTACATGGACTCCTGGAACATCGTATCCAGAACATATAACTCTAGATTACAGAGAGAAAGGGCTCGCATGTGATCTTTCCTTTTGTTAGTCTTCCTCGGGCTGCTGCTTACACTGAAGAGGAGCACGGTTTACCACTGGAGGGCCGGTAGCTGTGCATGGGTGTGTGTCTGGCAAAGCACACCATCAACTACTATAACAATACCTCACTCACTGACAGACAAGCAAGTAGACTCTGTGGACCCCAGCCATATTAAAATCTCCTTTGGACATTTTTCTTTTTAGTCCTAGGAACAGCAACATGTTTTTTTGTTATATATAATGATTGTCCTGGTTAATAAGTAAACATGCATTGTAAGAAGAAATTTGCTTATCAGAGCTTCATGTCCTAAGATACACAGGTGTCCTAATAGAAGTTCTGAATTGAACTTTTGTAAGTTTGAGTGTGCTTAACCCTGTGATTAATGGGCAACCTGGTTGAGGTGTTACTTATATCTTATGCAGTGCATGCTGGGGTATGTATCACCCCCCTGTACAGGAAAAAGTATTTTAGGAAGCAAATACAACACAGTAAAAACACTCAAGCATTTGTTTAACAGTGCATGTTTACTACAGTTTTGTTTTGGTAGAAGACTCCACCTTCCTGCTTATAAACTAAGAATGATGAATTCTTTTGGAAAAAGCCTGCATAATTTAAATAAAAACATTGGTAAAAAGAAGGGATCAAGTCTCTCACAGTAATGGATCCTTAAATCTGACAGCAGAGTGCCTGTATTTGTTGCCACTTTTTTATTTCGTTCACACTCAAAGAAAGACCAAATATTTGTGCTTAGTAGATAAACAGCAAAACCTGACCCCTTCAGGGACAAAACAGGCTTTCTTAAAAAGCCCTTACTCCAAAAAGGCTTGCTCCTACTCTCTGTGAAGACTTCTGTAGAAAACTCAGTGTTTTCACAACGTGACATTCACAGGCATACAAACAGTCCTATGTCGGAGTACGCCTTGAGAACAAAAATGTTTTGTCTGACCTGTTTTCTGGTTGTCACTCTATCTGCAGCCCTCCACAGTAGTGGACTTGTTTCAGCAGGGTCTGCTGGCTGTACAGGGGGGACTGAACCTTTCTCAGCTTTGTGTGCACAGGTTGTCGGATATCAAGGAACCACCTGGGAGTTTGTGTAGCTAAGTAAAAGCCAGGAAACTGTGAACATTATCTGCAGTGTGATTGTGCGTGGATTTTAATGAAACTCAATAAATTTTGTCAATCAGAGTTGTGTTATTTCCTTCATCCGTCATCAAACTTTCATCACAGGTTACCTTCACACGTTCAAGCCAATTGAAATCCTTAAGACTTAGCTTGTCCCCTTGTGGACTGTTTTTTTTTTTTTATACAGACCCATAATCTTCGAAGAAACACCCTTTTTTACCAAGACCATAAAGTTTTTTTTCTTGTTTTCTGTGAACATAAAACACCAGAAAGTACACACCTAAATGAACCACATATATTCTAATCCCCACACACAAACAAAAACCACAACACGATGTGCAAGACAGAAAAATAAATAACTGAAATAAATACTTCAAATCCTGCACCATCCAGATGAATGTCCTCAAACAACAGTTTAGTGTTCTGTTTTCCTCGTTTCTTAAAAAAAGAGGGTCTCAGTTAAGAGAATTGCACAGTCTTAGAAATAGCACCTGTGTGTGTGTGGCTTCAAGAAGGACTTGTGTCCTTTTACAGTACACTGGATAGATGCACCAAGGAAATCCACTGCTGACGGTTGTCTTTTTCGAAAGAGTCAGCCTCTTTGTTCTGTCCTTTTAAAAAGGCAGGTACGTAGATATCCATTTCCTGACAGAGGTCACTCGTGTGTAGACCCCTGGAAAACCTGTTCGTCCACATCCATGTCCCCAACTGGTCACCCCGGTGATAAACCACTGTCCAGACGGCTGCCTACAAGTCAGAGGCCCCCCAGAGTCTCCCTAGAAGAAAAAGGAGAGAGATGAAAAGGTAAAAATTTAAATACCAAGTAGAAATAAGGAAGTGGAAGTAGTAGAGTATGTCAGACCAAGCAGGTACAAAGAAAAAAAAAAGGTTGCCTTGAGCTACACAGGAATGCATTTTGGTTTCCTTACATAAGAGGATTACAGAGTGGGAGCAGGTGAAAAGGGGTGAGTGGGGGTCTTTTTTTCTGAGGGTAAGTCTAGCCTTTTCCTTTGGTTGAGCATCTTTAATGTAAGTGCCATACTCAACAAGAAACTCAATTTACTCCATCATTTTTGCCCCATAATTATACTGTATGACAAGTATAAAACCATATAACTCTCATGGGCTTTAGTCTTCCAAGCAATTTGTTTTTAAAAGTCTCAAGAGTAGAAACATAGCTGGTCTGGTTATTCATCCACTCTAAAACCAAAAGCCCTTTTTTTCCCACCATTGTTTTGTCTTTGTTACAATTCTCAGTGCAAAGATGCTTAGACTTTAACACCAGAAGTTTTTAGACTGCAAAATTCTATTTGTCTGACTTCTATAGTAAGAAGTCAGACAAGGAATGTCATTTTTGAATCAATTCAGTTTAAAAATCCTGATTTATTTTGGAAGAGTGAAGGTGAGATTTTGGGTTGGTTGTTTGAAAAGGATGTTTTTGTTTTGGCAAAATTTGTTGAAAAGGCTTGGCATATGCGGCAAAGTATTTTGTACCCTGTAGGATGAATTTTTTTGTTTCTCTTTCGTTATCCTTATTGTTTGTGTTACAATTCTTAATGGATTTTTGATGTTATTGTTGTTGTATATTATGTTGCATGGCTGTCTTGGATACATTGTGTTTTGAGTTTGTTGAACAGTGTGAAATAAGCCCATGGGACTGGGCACCAATTTTGGTGTATGACACTTAAATAAAATTATCAAATCAAATCTATAGTGTCCTTACCAAACAGGTGTCCCTGCCTCCCTCCATGTGTCCTGCACACATCATGTTCTGGGTCAGCACAGTCCCATATGACAGCTGACAGTCTGCCTGCTCAATGACACTCACTGCAGCTTTCTGCAGCAGGTTGGTCAGTGAACCTAACACAAAAGTTAATAACACATTTTCTTCAGTATAAAAGTTAGTTATTGTGGATTTTCTATCATTCTTATTATTTGTTATAATATGTCTAAATTATGAAATCAAGATTATTGATATCTCACCTCCTTCCCTCATGGACCCCCAGCCCATGATGTAGCACTCTGCGTCCTTCAGGAAGCGATGCACTGGTGAAGGGAGGCAGACAGACTGGATGGTGTAGGACATGGGAGCTGGGATTGTCAGCTCGAGTAGAGCCACATCATGGTCCATGTTGGTGTCATTAAAGGCTGGGTGGATGATGATCCTCTGGATGGGGATGACCAGGGCGCCTACACCTGAACGCAGCACAGATCCCAGACTCACTGCCCAGTCAGTTGGGCTTGGATTGCTGATGGTAATGAAGACTCTAAATCATTCTGGTTTGAATTTTTATACATTTTTCTAATGTATGGCTTTGCTTCTGTAGTTGAAACCTGTTTACAGCAGGGTGAAATTTTATTTGAATGTAGATCAAACACTCTACCTTTTGAAGCAGTGAGCGGCTGTGAGCAGCCACTTGCTGTGAATAAGTGTGGCGCCACAACGGTGAAGTCTCTGGTATTGTAGGCTTCCAATCCAAGGCCACTCCCCCCTTCGAGCTGTGACCCCACCCACAATCTTGTGCAAGCCTAGCGCAGGACGCACACCACAGTCTGAAACAAAAACACACATCAGCCGCATTTTCCTGACAGCCTAATGTGACCAGTCTTTAACTACATGAGACTTACTACAGTTCTTTTCATCAGCCTGGTTAGGACAGTCTGGGACTCCGTCACACTCAGGGTTGACTTTACTGATACACGAGGAGGCACTACACTGAAAGTTTCCACTGCAGTTAGAGACTGTAAGACAGCATGGGCACATTGTAAGTACAAAACTACAAAAAAGAGAGATCCATCTGAAAACGACACTGATGATACTGTAAGGACACCTAACATTACCAGGAAGTGTTGGTGCAGATGGTACATCTGTAACCGTGATCATGGGCATGGGTGGAGCAGCAAAGCTCCCCCCTGTCTCTGGTACTGGCACAGTGGGAACATACTGGGTGTTATCCTGGACCAGGCTAGGGTCTGTATGACTTAGAATCCAGTTGCGGAGCCGGGTAACGCGGGAATAAACACCAGGCCTGTTGACCTGGGCACAACCTATGCCCCAACTTACAACCCCAGCCAGGAAGAACCTCCCTGGGGCCCCCTGACACACCAGAGGCCCTCCAGAGTCACCCTGCAGGACAGACACAAACCAAAGACCTATGTAAAAACAGTTATACTTTCCACCAATAGGTCTAGTTCTCTTTAAAGTTTCTGCCTGTTCAAATTACGTTTTTCCTCACATATGTTCATGAGCACTAAAAGACAGAGAACTCAAATATAAGCTTTGGGCTCGGTCAACTTGCCTAGCCTGCTGCTTCTGCTACAGACCTCAAATGAGTGGAAGAAAACAGATGTATAGAATGTGATAGATTTCGGGGCTAACCAGAGTTTATTGCTAGTTGATTTAATAAGATCAAATTAAATCAGGTTCGGGACTGGACATGAAAGTAAGGTGTTGCGTACTAAGATAAACGGGGCGTGGTGGTAGTTCAGGCAGACCAATCTGAATGAAGTGAAGGTGAATAATATTGATTGGGCTGCTGTATTTGATCACCTTAACCTTCCATGAATGTTTTCCAGCTGTAATATTAACATTATATATCATGTGTAGCTTTAGCAGAATGGGTGTAACCAGAGTTGAAATATACTTCTGACCTTATTTAAAGTTTCGAGATAGATAAGAAGACTAATCATCAGTCTTGGTGTACAAACTTTGCCCTGAGACAAGACAGTTGTGTAAGAAAAATGTAAGTCAATAGCACAACTTTGTATTGTCATCTCCTGTGAACTTAAAGAGAAGCAGCACTGACCTGACATGAGTCCACCTTGCCCTGCAGGAATCCGGCACACATCATGTTGTGAGTAACTGCTCCTCTGTACACAGACGATTTGTTACACACCTTAGAATCGATGATCTTTACTACAGCTTTCTGCAGAGTGGGAGGCACAGCAGCTGAAGGACATAAAAAGACAGCTGGCTTATTCATGATGATGATATTTCAAAAGTTTTTTTGTAAATGTACTACTTGTTGTGTGTTCACAGGAAATGGACTAACACTTACACAATAACACTTGAACTGTAATATGATACTTAAACTTGGGTGTGTGTTTGTGATGCACTCGTGTGTCATTGTGTAACAGGCGTCTTGTGCTTTAATCCAGTGGATCCATCATTATAGCAGAATAATCTGGATATTTTATGTTATTTGGTTCCTGCCAATGGACTGCTGCTTAAAATGATCTTAAACTAACTCTTGTAAAATACATAAGATGATAGCATTCATGTTTAATATAGGAAAAGATGTTTTTGAGTTTATTGTTATGTAACCTTAATATAAATATAGTTTTCCCTTCTTTAGAATATTGCAAAACTAACAGATTTTCTTTATAAACTTATAGTTGCTGCCTTAATTGCCTCGATTAGTTAACAAATAATCATAACAACTGTTTCTCTCTCATTATCTTGTTGGAAAATCATCCTCCAAATATCAAATACCAAATAAGCACCGAGTTGCTCTGCTTCACATATGCTGAGGCTGACTCACGGTTAAACTGGTGCAGTGCGCCCCACCCTGACACCACACAGCGCTGTCCCGGGGTGAACACGTGAGACGTAGAGGGCAGACAGACAGGCTGGATGTACGAGCTGAAGGTGAGAGGGCTCTCCAGCTCCAGCACAGCCACATCATTGTTGGTGGTCATAGGGTTGTAGTCTGGAGACACAACCAGTGACTTGATCTTGACGGTTTTGGACTCTGACTCCTCACCGCTTACTAGTCTGGCTCCCACCAGGGCAGTCCACTGACTGGGGTCATTGTCCCTTAAAAACAGAAGAGAAAGTGATGACAAAACTCTAATGACACCTAAGTGAAATGATGTGAGTATCTTTGCTGGCTACCTCTCAAAGCAGTGTGCTGCGCTGACCAGCCATCGCTCACTGATGATGGAAGCTCCACATGTGTGGTGTCCATGAAACCTCAGACTGACCTGCCATGGCAGCTCCCCTTGCCGAGCATCCTCGCCACCCACCACCCGACTCCCCATTGCAGGGCGAGTCCCGCAGGCTGAGGGCGAATGTTGAAAATGAAGTTAAATAACATGCAGTGATGGCTTTTCCGACTGTTATGTCAGTGAGCTTGCTTCACAGTAACCAGATATGCAGATTTAAGAGTCATTCACCACAATGAGCTTCATCAGATCCATCTGCACAATCAGGGATGAAGTCACACTCTGGATTCACTTTGGTGACGCATTCTCCATTGTCACAGGTGAAGGTGTTTTCAGGACATCTGGCTGGAGAACCGAGACAAAAAGCAAAAAGGTTGATGTATTCAGGGGGAAGAAGATGACTCTGCTTTGAGCATTTCATAATGATAGTTCCTTTTTTGAGGCCTTTTGTCCTTTTTATGGGACAGAAAGTTGAGAGTAGATTGCTGAGGAGACATCCATGTCGAGGTCAGGGGTGACAGTTCAACCTGCAGCTGATGTGTGGTTGACTGTAGACTCTGTGCATAGGCGCATGTTCCCTCAACTGAGCGACTTTTCATGAAGAAATGCCTGCAGATTAAGTCATCCACCTCATAAAGTGGTGCTTTAATTATCATTGTATTTGTGGTCTATTTAAGGTACATAGTGGCATCTAATCTTGTTTAAATCTAAATGTATTTTGAAAATCATCTTGCCGTCTTGTCTGTGGTCAACCAGCACCTGTTTCATCTCTGTTTGTAGTAACACATGCTGTTTGGTGTTACAATAGGGAATTCATATCTGCACTAGGATCATGTTGGCACACAAAAAAATATTCACTCACCAATCATCTCATCTCCAATTGCGTAAAACGATTTCCCACTGGCTCCTAGTAATGAACAGAAAACAGGACATTAGATTTCAACGTTTTTCTGTCTCCTTCTCTAAAAATAGGCGCTCTCAGGCTGCAGCTACTCAGCTGATGACAGAAAAATTCACTACCCAGTAAGATGATAGCACTGATCTCTCCAAACTCTGGCACCTTCAGTGGCTTCCCGTGCATCACTGAGCTGAGTCCGGCTCTCAGCAAGTCCTGAACAAAATTATCGGAATACTGCTGGACTTTGGACACCCTGAAGACCAGTCTAAATGTCACCATCACTCCCCCATTGAGGTTGCTGGGAAGACAGGAAAGTAAGGTGTTATGTTTGACGATCAAAGTGAGTAATCTTAGTGCAACTTTTACCTACCCGTAGGCAATAATACTGCAATCAATGAAGTGATGTGATATTGATGAGGCAGTGAAGACATCTTTAATCTGTGAGAAAGTGAAAACAAAACATTAAAGGCACGTCAATGGAAACACTGGGTCTTCAGCATACTGATTTATGGACTAACCTTGGACTTTAAAACTGATGACAGCACAATGGAGAAACCAGAACTCTCATCCTGTAGAGCAGGATCATACTTCAGACCTTTCAACTCCAGCGTCTCCATGAAATAATGCTGCTCCTGCACCATGTAGGCTAGCAAACACAGTACAAACATTAACGCTGTAGTACCTCAGAATAAGCGTTCAAATTTCATGATCCTGTGCACAGACTCACCAATAATCAGTCCTATGAAGACCCCTATAACCAGGAAGAAGATGAAGAAAGCCATGAGGGTACCCCTGCAGCAAGCTGAGTTAGAGGGAGCAGATGAAGAGGACCAAGATCCCCCTCCTCCATCTTTCTTCACCTCCATGTTGGATTGACAGCACCTGCTTTACAACTCACATTAGTCCAGTTATCACAATGCCTGACAGAGAGAGTGACCCAGTCCTGAAGAAAAAATACTGATTAGTTATAAAACTTTACTCAGTTTGACACAAACACCCGAGGACACAGTTATAGGGGAGACCGGGGCTTGTTGTCACACTTTTTACACTCTTACATATTTCTTGCAATCAATACATCATATATAAACAAAATGTGTACCAGATGAAAGACAAAAGTCTCAGGTATTCATATTCATGTCATTTTCATATCTTGTGTCAGTGCAGAGTTATTAGCAATCAAATTATAACACAGGGTAAGATGTCACAGTGGATTTTGCAGCTAATAAAACAAGAACAAAATTATTGTTGTTCTCATTTTTTTACATGAAAGTAAAGATCAAAGTCAGACACAGAAAAGGTTTATTATTGAGCTAGAAAAAGTCATTGAACAAACGTTAACACAGAAGATTATGCAACATGCTCTGGAGTTTGGAGATCTGTCTGTCTCTGTATTTTGGCTAAGGTGAATGTTTTGCAGTACTGAGCCAAGGTATTGTAGTTGACATTAAAGTCCTTTATTGAACTCCAGATTGATTTATTAGCTAAGGTCACCTGCTTGGCTGCCCTCAGCATCATGTCAAGCACTGCACTGCCATGTTCTGTTTTTCTTTTGTAATTCCTGACCATGTCTTCTCTTTCTCCTCTTCTTTAAACCACTCTTTTTTCTGTAAAAGTCAAAATTTCTGTATGACAACTGCTGATAAGCAGACTCTCCATGTTAATTTTAATCCCTTTTAAACACGTGACAACTAACTCCAAAATGACTGAGACATGTTCCCCAAACTACCATGTTTGCTAATTCTAGCTCTAGCTTAAAGTTAGCTCAAAACAGAACAATGACTGAGGTATGACAGGATAACTTAATCTCTCCTCTAACAAGTCCACATGTATCACTGCTGGGATTTTTATCTGGAAGAAGCTTATACTAAAATATATAAAGTTATTATTATTATTTTTTTTACTTTAGGATGTGCAGAATGGTTAATTGGGGCTCATCTCAGCTCACAATGTGCTCTTCTCTTCTCAGACAGGATTCGACCCCTGACCATGTAAAGGAATAAAACTGGAATTCCACTTTTTAGTTGCGCCCTCTGGTGGCAAAGATAATTTAAATGTGAAAACGTACCCATGTGACAACAAGCCCCGGTCTCCCCTACTGTATAAAATTTTACTTAAACGGTAAATGAATAGGTTTCATAAAGGATGTCACTTAAGACATGTAATCTGGATCATTTCACTGGTGAAACTATAAACCAAATCTTAGGGTAAAATCTTCACTAATTGCAAAAAAAAAAAAAAAAAACCCTCCTAAAACACTCATTCGAAAATGTTGCATTATCAACAAAGTTAACACAGGTCAAACGTACAATACAGCGTACATAGAGCAAGATTATTACATCCACAACCAAGAAACTATGTCATATAAAGAGATAAGAGAATATAAACAGAAACACCAATAAGCAGTTCAGTTTAGGAGAGCTGGCTGAGATTGTGCAAAAGCCTGTGTTGCTCGGCGCTTACAAAATCACTAGAAAAGTCACTTTTTTGCATCAAAGGAAACACAAGCCTCAGAATTTTACACATTCTTTCAGTAACAGTAATCGGACACAGTGAGGGTTTTCTGTGCACAAGCAAATTACGCACGGCGACTCTGCGCAGCACAGCGTCCAACATCAAACAATACATGCTTTATCTTCCAAAGTGAACCCACTCACCTCTTTCTTCACTCATTCCTCCGTAAACCGACTTCAGGATATCTTGCGGGTCATGCAAGAATGAAAGATGGACGTACAGGACGAGGAGGCCCGCTATTTGTTCCACCTGTCGAGGGGCGTGCCGTGTCCCTCCTGCAGTCACTCAACCTTTTCAGTTTACTTTCGGGAGAGGAATCAGCTTCAGAAATCCCCGGCAGACTCTCCTCCCATCGGTCCTGATCCCTTTGGTTACACCCCGATGTGCACAGGCTTTTCCAGAGATCTCCCATAATCTTTAGTTCACAATAAATATCTAAACGTAAGGTACTTTAGTATCGCACAAGTGAAGGAATGTCAGAAACAAACGAGTTAAAGTCAACCAGACTCAGTGTTGCCTCTATTTCCTGCCTATCTGTGCTCCATGGACACAGTGACTGAGCAACAGGGGAGGGTGAAGCCTCTTTACTGTTGGCTGCATGTCCAGGCCCACACCTGGCAGACCACTGGCAGTCCTTTTAGTGGGATTACAGCTCCTCTTTTCAGATGCCTGGCCTCTACAGGAACCATGGTTGCCCTACTGTAATCCTGAGCACATTTCAAGATTTTTCCTCCTGTGTTAACCATCTGTCATAAAAAAACAACTTCACCAGTCCATCATTTACAGATTATTTGTAGTTTTTGTGTGTGAAACACTCCACTAGAAAAGCAATCTTTAGGGTTTTACATGTACTTAGATTGTTACCCCTCCCTGTCAAAAGGGATTCCCTCTCATATCAGTGATTACCTCAAGTGTCTCTTGGTCAGTGTGCAGACAGGCTTTGACGGCTTACCCTCACACACAACACACACTCTCTTTATCCCTTTAAACACTTTAAAGATCACAAACACTTCATCTAAACAAACTGACTTGGGTCTGACTTATTCAGCTGTTTGCACAAAAGACTAAGATTTAAGGGTTAAGAAGTTCATGAAATTGCTAGTAGATGTGACAAAAATGATTATTTTTTGTTTTGATTAGCTGGTTAGTTACCTGTATTTAAGGAGCTGATATTTCAAAAGCTCCCCTCAGGATTTAAAAAGGCAGAAATGACAGTGTTAGGCCACAGCTGACAGAGCTGTTACACATCTGGTTTGGACATACACCCCACCAGCTGCTTGTTTCGACTTTGCTGAGCCACATTAAATTAGGTCAAAATGCTTTGTTTTCTCAAAGTCACTGAATGATTTTCCAGCCAAACTCTGAACTAGTACAACACGCACACAGACAATGGAAAACAAAACTCAACTCACATTATTGTTTTATTTTCTTATCAAAAACAACAAAGAATAGTAAAAAGTGGACTTATTCAGGATAAAAAGAAAATGGTCGTGTTAACACTTGCCAACTTTGTGGGATCTTTACAACTCAAATCTTTGCAAACTTTTAAAACCAAACAGAAACCAAAGTGAAGTGCTTCAATGTCCTTTTGCTGACCAACTTATGATTTTAAACAACTGAAATTTGCCTCTTTGTACACACTATAACTGTAAAGTTTAAAAAAATTACAACAACAAAAGACTCTACAAATATTTGTGTATGTGTGTGCAATAGTGTTAGCCATCCTGCTGCTGTATGAAGGGGTTAGGTATGGCCTCCATGCCGTCCTGAGGACAGATTAACACTACGGAGGTTCCTCTGCAGACCACCAGCCCAAGCTGCCGGGTGTCTTCTGTCAGCTTCAGTTGGTCATCTGGATCTGGGCAGACAAATATAAGTGTTATGGACATGCAGTAGTGTGGGTTTCTGTGCTGCAGGGCTCAAAATAAATTTAAATTAACCTTTGTCAATCACAACAAACTTTGTACAGCATCCACTATTACAGAGTATTGCTGACCTGTGCTGTCCTGGTATACTGTCACTTTAAGGCATGTTCATTGAGCAGCCCTTTTCATTATTCTCCAGACACTAAACTGCCACTCGTTAAAAATGTTTGATTATTAGCAGTTAAGACAGCTTACTAGGTAAGGTCACTCTGAAAACTGGACGTTACTAAACCAACAAGGTACGTCATCAAGACTTAAAAATGTTATACACAGCAACTTCACACTACAGTATTGAAAACATTTGGACAAAAACATAACTTTAAAGCAAATAATCATGTCAATGCATGAATAAAAAACTCACAGGCTTGTGTAGCTTTACACATAGGCCTATGTGACAAAAACAGTTCAACTCAGCGAAGTGTGGTTATGCTTGGCAGATGGAGGCTGATGTATATTTTAAAACCACTAGATGTCGCTGCACATTATGCATATGAAACCCTGTATACATAAAAAAGAAGTTTAGAAATTAAACCCTTCATCTAAACCTGGTTTTATGGCCCATAAGCAGCAAACTTTAATGAACAGTCATGTTTAGATCACTAAGTGACACCTGATTTTAGAGGTAAAGAGGAAGTGTCATACAACCACTAAATTCACTTAGGACTGCGAAGTGTTTCTATAACAGATACCATTGGCTTCAAGTATTAAGGTAAACTTTTTTTCCTTTTTTTTTCCTTTCCACATAGTTTTTCCATTAAGTGCTTGTGTGCAAGTTTTACCCTCATTTGATAAGACAAGGGGTCGGCAACCTCTGTTGCCTCTTTCAATGGCTCCCTGTTGCTATACCAAAAAAAAAATATTACAAACTTCTTTATTTAACTCTTTAGTTTGAATAAATTATTGCAGCTGCCAAATAATTTCACATGCTCTGCTTGTAAATATTTTCTTCTCCAAGATTCAATTTTTGTTGACATCATCAGGCAGGTGAAAATTGGACTTTGCCGAGGTAGACATTGTGGGTGTTAGAGGTGAGCTGGATTGTGTTGTATCAGAAAGTGTTTCTTTTATTTTGTCCATTTCATTAACAAACATGAGGGGAGCACAATATAAGTAACACCATAGACTGCATAGACTATGGACAACTTGGTTCCACCTCCCGCCTGTATACGGATTTGAAGCCAAAAAGCTCTCAGTAATTACACACTTTTTCTCCATTTCCTGAAACCAACATTGCGCAGTAGCATTGTGCGCATTCGGCGGGAGAGTCGCCGAGAGTTGCTGTGATGAGGCTTGGCTCAAACAGCGTATCCCCCATAGACATTATATATGTAGACGCCTCATTACGTCTTGGAGCGTAATCCAGTGTTGCCGCCATACTGGATGGGTCTCTCCACTCCAGGCTTGCTCAAGAGGAGAACGAGCAACTATACCCGTTTTTTCGCACTATGTGGTTGAAAACCTCGACGCAGTATTGAGCACAAACCAGTCTTACAGTATGGGGGGGGGGGGGGGTATGTTCTGTGTAATAAATTTCTAAAGTTTGTCCACAGCTCCATAAGAATTGCTGGCAGAGGCGGGATTTATGACCTATACTGCAGCCCATCAACAGAGGGTGCTGTTCTCGGGGTGGCTTCACCCAGCAAAAAGGCGGACGCTGTCCATTCTATATACAGTCTATGAGTAACACATTTCATTTCAAAGCACCTTAATACACCCACAACACTTTAAAGTTCAAAAATTAATTCCAACAAATATCACAGGGTAAAAATGTTGTTGCCCAGGTGTTAGAATGTTGTGCCTGATCTGTCTATGAACGTTTACCCAAGTAAACTAACTTCTTTTAACATATTCTGTTTTTTTAGCTTAACTTGTATCCTACTGTGATTGTTTTGAACGCCAGCTATCATAATTTAACATTTTTAATTCGTTTCTTTTTGTTTATTTCATTTATGGCAAACATGGAGATTTATAAACACTTGACTTACCCCGCATGTACTCGATCGTACCATCTAACACCAGGTTCAACAGAGGATCGAACCCTTTCAGGACCCCGCTCGCTGTGAGAGGGACAGAGGACAAACTCATGATGCGTTTAATGTCTCTGAGGAAATCATGTACTTTATAGTGTCCGGACGCTAAAATAGCCTTAGCTTAGTAACACAATAAATCGACCTACCCTCTCGTCCCCCTTGAAACTTAACACGAATCGGCTTATCGATGTACTTGGACAGATCGAAGATGCTCTCTTTCTTCTTCTTTTCTTTATCCTAGATGGAGAAAATGGACATTGTTTGTAAAATTCTCGGCACATGTAAGACGGCAGCGCTAAAACACCGACTTAGCCTGAAGTTAGCTTCGACTGGCTAGCCGAGTGAGTGAATTAGTGCATGCACTTTCTATAGCTCTTTTGTATTTCAGGTAATTTAAGAAATAAATGATATATGTCTCAGGATATCTCCGAAAATGTGCCATGAAGGAATCGTTAAAAGATGTTTGATTGAAGACGAAAAGCATACGGACTCACCGCCATGTTAGCTGTGTGACACGGAAGTAAATCTTGAGCACTGTGGCTCAACCAATCAAATTGTTGAGCGCCTCTCTGACGTAACTGATTTGGTTTATTATTTTCATGACTATATTTTCCTCAAACTTTGGCCTACTTTTTTCTTCAGGCGTCAAACGGTGGAACATTGAGTTATTCCACAGGCCTCTGCAGCCTGTTTTTTAATAATAATAATATTAATCAGCACCTGTCTTTAGTCTGACCCCCCTTTTCTGGTTCCTTCCAGCCTGTAGAAAGTCAAGGGGAAAATCTATTAATAACTCCAGTGTGTGTGTTGTAAGCTCAGAACGAGGACGAGAGACTATTCAGAGTAGGTTGCTGCGGCTGTTTGTTGTGAAATGGCCTGCAGAGCTGACACTGATCTCCTATGTCAGAGTTATGAATTCACAGTTTTGGATGGATCTTCTCACCACGTGAAAGACTCTGAGCCTGATGTAGTCCCTGATGCAACTCTGCAAGTTGAAGGAGAAAACTTTTATGTCAACCGTCAACAGCTTGCCCTCCTGAGTCCATACTTTAGGGCTCTGTTTTTTGGATGTGGTTTGGAGAGCCGCAGAAGAAAAGTGGTGATCAAAGGTGTGAGTCTGCAGTACTTCAGTGTGTTGATGGACTACAGCAGGACCTGCAGCCTTGTTTTGAGCAGAGAAAATGTTCTGGGGATCCTTGAGACTGCAGACTTTTTACAACTGGACGGAGCCCGGCTGCTGTGCTGCAAGTTCCTGGAACGTGAACTGCACCTCAGTAACTGTCTCGGGATGATGGCTTATGCATGGACGCTGGGCTGCTCTCAGCTCTACAGGGCAGCTCGACAGGTGACACTCACACATTTCTCTGCTGTTGTAGCTGAAGAGGACTTCCTGTTATTGTCCAAGGAGAACATAGCTAATCTTCTTGCAAGTGATGACCTGGCCATCTTTAAGGATGATCTTGCTGTTGAGGCCACCCTACGATGGGTATCATTTGACCCTAAACGGGAGGAACATTTCATGGAGCTCATTGAGCTGGTAAGGCCTGAGTCACTCTCTTTGCCATTTCTCACTGAACTTTTGACCAGAATGAAAAGCTCTGACCCCAGAGCAAAGCTCATCTGCAAGCTGAACGAACATTTCCCAGCATCTTGGTCAAAGGGCAGGTCACTAAAAAGAAGCAGGGCCAGGGAGACCCTTTTTGTCCTGGGGGGACCCCACGATCAGGAGCAACAGGCACTTTATCAGTTTCACCCACAAAGTGGGCGATGGCAGAACTGTGCACCTCTGCAGAGGAAGAACCTCACACAGTACTCAGTGGCTGCTGTAGGTAAGGGTTGAATGATGTGAATGTTGATGGAGGTGATGATGAAGATAAAAACAACAATAAAACTTTGTTCGTATATGAAATATGATTTGTTTTTTATCTTTGAATCTCCTGTCTTTTTTTTATCCCTTCCTTTTTTGTAGGGGACAATGTAGTTGTGACAGGTGGCTACTTCAGGGATGTTTTGTGGTTTAGCGTGGACTGGGTCAAGATCTACGAATGTGGAAACCAGCGCTGGATAGATGGGCCAGCTCTTCAGAAGTCCAGGCACAGCCACTGCTCCACTGGGCTGGATTCTGTGCTGTATGTCTTGGGTGGCAGCATGGATGAGGGGCTTGTGGCTGATGTAGAGATGCTGGTCCTGGGGTCAGAGAAGGGGTGGGAGGGGGTCAGCCCCATGTTGACGGCTGTTGAGAGGGCAGCCGTTGCTACCCTGAACTTATGTATCTATGTGGCGTGTGGCCTGGATGAAAATGGGGAGGTGTTTGGAGGAATTCAAAGGTATGTGGTGAAAGAGGATCAGTGGGATGTGATCTCCTATTCCCCATTTCCACGGTGAGTGGTTTCAACAGGTGCAGCAAAATATTGCATTTCTTTTTGATTATTTAACTTTTTTTTCATTGTAAACATTCTTTATATAGCTTCATTTTTCATCCTCTATTGTCAGGTTTTTAATGACAATTCCCACCCCTTTTCCCAGATATGACTTGGTTGCCACGGAACTCAACGGTGCCCTCTACCTGTTTGGAGGCCAAGCTTTGCGTTTTGACGTGGAGACAGATGAATGGACCTTAATTGAGGAGGATTGTCTGGACCGAAAGTTCTTTTCCGGCTGCACTACAGTCAGTGGACAGATATATCTGGTCAGTGAGAAGAAAGGTAACAAAGCATTCCCAAACATGGTGCTGATGGACCCTTACATTGACACCTGCATTGAAGTGGATGATACCATCCCCTGCTCTGTCCCCCTCAGAGGATGTGTCACAGTGAGAATGGCTACATAAGTGTAAAAATGTGATTCTATGTTACATAATCCTATTTTTGTCTATACACATTATTTTGTAAAAGATGTCATCCAAAACAATGGCCAAATAAAGTTTCATTGAAATGGTCATGATTTGGGTTGAAATTAGAACAGATTAAAAACTGTTGAAATAATCTACTTCCACTTACAAAAAAGACAGCAGCGTCATTTATTTCAATAAAAGTCATTTATTAAAACTCATCAACTTTACACACAATCAATAAACCCTCCATGTGTACTCACAAGAGGACAGTCAAGTGTCACTTTCAGGAAAACTTGATTTTCCCCCTTGCTAAGTATTTTTTTTATTTCATAAAAGCATCATTTTAGTAAGGGGGTTTGGGGTGTGGTGTTCAGTGGATCTGCCCTTTTAGTGCTCTACAACTTAAATCCCACTTTGTGTTGTGAGCCTCAGTGTTATAAAGACCCTGTCCACATTCAGGCACAACCTTTCTCTTATTCAGTGCGTATTGTACTGTATATGTACAAACAATCTCTGTGCTCTTCTGTTGACAATTGTGATGATTCACTTAAAACTAGCCCTGGAAACAGAACAGACAATGAGCCTCACATCATCTTCTGATAAAACAGCATATTCTGAAGTCTTAACAAAGTAGTAGAGTATTTTTCTAGAGTATCAAAATATGTGTACAACTTTCATAATAAACTTTTGATCTTTACATTCCAGTTTGACATTTATTCATTGGATAAAGACTTTGGATCTCTGCATACAATAAAGATGTCAATAAATATATATCACATTTCATTAATGCCCATCTGTCAGCAAACCTGTCACTTACAGACATGAAGCAGCCCCACCTTCACATGAAGTAAAACAGTGAAACCAGTCACAGTAAGGCCTGGCCTGTGAGTTTGTCCACTCTACTTACACACATAGTTTTTGAAAAAGATCAAGTGCTCGCTAATAATGTAAAAACAGCAGCTAAGCCACAAAACTGAAGTCCAGTGGTGCAAACTTTGTCAAAAACCTTGATGAGATCTCATGCTGTCTGTCATGACGAAAAAACACTCAACTAGATGCTTTAACTCCAGATGTATTTCAACTCTACTGTTTTCCTGTAAAAGTAAGTTTCATTACATAGAATGTTGCCTTCTCTACAAGGACATGTTTCCTCTCTGTGCACCAGGGGGCGCCATAGCTTTACTTACAAACCCAAATCAAATCTTATTCCAGAAAAAAAAATACAAGTTTCAGATGCATGTGGAGCTGCAGGAGGATTTACAACAACATTAAAGTTTTCTGTAGAGCAAATAATGCATAAAAATAGATATATAAAGTATTTTATCAACAGATACTACAATCAAGGTCTATGCACAATCAACATAATGTGAGTTATTGTGGATACAAAGCTTTGTGAGAGAATTACAAGTTCTGCCTCTGTTTAAAACTTAACATGACTCATGACAGATTGTATAAAAAACATTAAGTGTTTCTTGTTGACCCAACTTAAGTATAAAGGAATCATCGCACAGTCCATGAACTGTTACACTTGTGTATTTACAAACCACTTTTTTCAGAGTTCATTAAAAATAAATATAAAATCTGCATACAACACATAAAATAAACAAACCATCTCCTTGTTTCACCATTCTTACAGGATTCTGGTGTATGAGTGACAGTAGTGATGGTGTTTCCTCCCAGTCTGATACTAGGGGTGCAGATTTACAATCATCTGTGCTTGTTCTTTTTTTTTTTCAAGATATGCAGGATGTGGACTTACCCTCAGCTGAAATCTTCAGTGGACCAAGTTGGATGTTCACAAAGCCAAATGTCTGTCTGTCAGTTATGAGTTTTTCTCCAGTACAGGAAAGTGTAAATAACCTTTTAGATTTGACTCTTTGTAGATGTTAATTGAGGCCGCTCCACTATCTGGCTTTGGGCAGTCTGCTGTTTATATTCCTCTGGTTGGTCAGGTTGTTCAGGACACAGTTGTTAGCCAGTGATGCCAGTTTGGAGTTGATTGTACCCTTTCTTTGCTCCCAGCTGAACTCGTCACCATCTTCTTCCGGCTCATCCTCTTCCTCTTCATCTTCCACCTCACTCTCCTCATCACTACGCTCATCACGCTCCACCTATGGAGAAAAAATAGGAATAATAAAATTTTTGATGTGGATAACGCTTGATATTTTCCTTCCCCTTCCTTTTTAAAAAAATTTTCCTTACCTTGCCGAGGAACACAAACTTATAGACCATACGCAGGATGAGATAAGCCCAGAAGATGTGCAGTGCCTGCAGCACTAACAGCAGAGCATTGAAGAAATAATAACCATTGAAGGGCTTGAAGTAGTCTTTCGAAACCACCAGGGTTGAGTAGATCACTCTGGAAAGCACACATGCATCAGTTTTAGTTATGCTACCGTACCAAATGCTAAGAAGGTTGGTTACTGCACTTAAAGCTCCTGTTAAGAACTCTTGATTTTGGCCCCTCCTGTGGACAAAGCAGTCTTTGCTTTTCTGGCCTTTCACAAGCTTCAGTAGAGTCAGCTGGCAGAAAAAATCTCTCTGCTTGGCTAACACTTACCCGCTGCATCGATTTGAGACATAAATGAAAACTGTTATTCTTGTCACTTTAGTTTTTTTATGTTATAAAATGAATCAGTATGATTTTCAGCTTGTTTCATAAACATCAAAAAACTCCTCACAGGAGCTTTAAGTAGTATGTCAACAAAATCAATTCTTTCAATATACTATAAACCTGCCTGCCTGCTTTGAAACTGGGGAAGTCCTAGTTGGTGGGTGAGAGAGAGGGAAAAGAGGGCAAAGATGCATGAGGAAATATGAGAATGCATGGACACAGGTGGGTGATCCAGGACAACAGAGCCGATCCATTACAGTTCCAACAAAACTTCACACCACAGGACTCATAATCCACATTCAAATAATGCTAAACCAAGAACAGAAGTTTGTAAACTAAACGATAAATGCACAAAAAACTTGCACTCCAAAAGTTGAAGGCATTGTGCAAACCCTGGCATCTGTTTCAGCATACTTAAATAAGGTTTTAATCAAAAGCAATGTCAAATCTAGACAGAAACATGAAGTTTTACCTGCTGGGTAACACCACAAGTCTTGTCACCAGGAAGACCACAGCGAAGACGACAAAAAGCGAGTCACATGTTGTCGTCCAGCCAGCATAATGGAACATCTTGGCAGACTATCAGATGATGAACGTGACTGTTAGTTATCAGTAATAGCAAAAAAAAGCAACAAAACCAGCTGTCATCTATGATTTATATCTTTATACAACTCTATGCTTCTGTTGACACTGTTTCTGAAGTTACTAAGAGTGGTCAAGATGAGACTCAGTGTTTTAACTTGACTTTAGGATAGTCTGTTTAACTACAAACTGCTTTGACGCTTTTTATCAATTAAAGGAAAATGGAAAGGAAAGGAAAAACCGCTCCATCTTGAAATCATATAATGTAAAACTGATAACAAAAGTAGAGGCAGATGATTAAAGCTAAGTTTACAGCAGACTGTCACCAACTAAAACATGATCAACTTTATGTTATTCTTAAATTTATGAGGGTCACAATTTTCACATGACACCAGAAAGGTTCACCGCCATAAAAACTCATGTCTGCTTAGTAGAGCGGAGTCACTGTCAGAACATGACACCCATATCATTGTCCCTTTTCTGTGCCAGACGACACCCAGTCACGTCTGAGGTCACATGGCGGGCCCTACATACTTCCCTCACGGCTGAAATATCACTCATAGTTTTCAGATGTTATCAGTAAAATGTTACAACTAGTAAAATCAGCCCAGCAAAAACAAACACAACAAATCATTGGATTGACTTGTGGGTAATTAATTTACAGCAGACAATAATGCTTTTCCATGTATGACTGTTTATATTAGATAAAGGGTTGTAATGTGTTTGAGTGAGAGAATACAAATAAACAATGGCTTTATTCAAGTTCACTTCCCTTTGACTTTTGTACAGAGTTTGTGGCACTTTAAAGCACTGCACAGGAGTAGACAAGATTCATTCACTTTAAATGCTGCATTTAGTATTTTTCTCTTTTTTCATTTTTGCCTGTCCACCTTCAATGACTTTGATGACAACAATATATGATAAGCAATACATACTAAACATGTTAGGTATCAAAATATCCTCATATTGCTGAATCAAATCAATAAAATGTCAATTATTAGTCAGGATTTGAGTCTTACCTCCAGCAGGAAGTCAGAAGAGTCGTGTACAAACATTACCAGAGTGCCAACCCTCACATAGTTGGCGCAGTAGGAGAAGCCAATAAGGAATAAGGTGGCGATGTGATGAATAACCTGCTCCTTGAAATCCTGGAACGCAAAAGTGAACAGACAGAGACCACACAGTGAATGTCAGCTTTGCAGTAGCAGAACTGAGACGTCAGCAGCTCTCTGCCTGTGGTCTTTTTCATCAATAGCGTCCAAAAATTGGGGAGACCGATTTACATCTTGTCTGGAGTGATTTACTGTTATGTTGGACACTCAAATATCTCTGATCAGCAGTTTTAAAGCCAACAGTGAATCACACACAACCACTTTTTTTTACCACAGATTTTGGGATTAAAGATTGAATCAGTTCTTGGCTGATTTACATTTGGAAGTTTGCAGTTATACTTGCAATGGTAAATCAATTCATTCATTTATTATTTAACTTAATTTAACCGATATGTCCTCATCTGTTAGTGGAGATTTTATATCCAGCAGCACTCAGTTTTAAAACAAGAGCAGATGAGAAGTCCCCAAAACCATGATGCAACACCACCAGATAATCCAAAGCATAATCTGTGTTTAATCATGTGATTAAGTAACTGGGGAGTGAGTGATGACATAATTCAGCTTATGTTTTTGACCATTTGACAAACACTCAAAACTGCCAGTTCAGAAAAAGGTTTTGAAAAGCAAATCATCCAGAAAAAAACAGGATACTGCACTGATGTCTAAAACCATGAGTGTCGAATGAGGTCACACTCACTTTTCGCTTGACGTCCACAGACACAGATAGTAGCAGGGATAAATAGAAGCCCATTTCAAGGATGTAATACCAGTGATGGGCCTCAGCTACAGGCTGGAGAATGAAAGAAAGAGAAAAACAATCAGTCAGGCACTTACATTCAGTGGTGTTTCTCTACTGCTTACCTGCATGGCACTCAGGAAAATGAACTGATTATAAGTACAGAAGCCATGGGAGTAAAATGAACTGATTTTGTAGACTGACTGTAGTTTCCATTGTGTGTTTGTTCGTGTGTGCATGCATGTGTGTGTTGAGAGAGGTTTGAAAACCAACTATATTCCAGTTTATTAGTCACTTCAGAGTAGGAAGTGGGAGAAACCATCATTGGCTCAACTTGTTCTGATTGATAAGTAACTAAATAAACGATGGTTAGGCAAAATCAAGAGTGATGTGTGGCCATTTTTTAAAGTAAAAAGAACATATATGACAGTCTTTAACAAACTAATGTTGACATTCAGCCACCTCTTTCTTGACTGTTAGCAGTTCACACTTTCCTTATCTTATCATACAAGACGATCAAAAGCTAACGTTAACATTCAGCCACTTCCTGGCTTTTGAGAGTGTAAGTTAGAAATGCTATCATTAGCTTTTGATTGTGCTGTACTACTCAATAGGAAAATGGTCATTTGCAAAGAGGTTGTTGAATACTATCTGTTTGGTATATTAACTCTGACAGATTTGCTCTAACACTATCAGGGCTGTCTGGTTGGTTTGTGTGTACAGTGGTTAAGTCAAGCTATAATTCAATGTTTCTAAAGCTCTTTATAATCTTATAAAAGTATAAAAGACCTAAATCCCACATTGTCAATGCTTTCAACCTGTTTTAAGAAAGCTGATTAAGTGTTGGTGTACTATCTCAAATCTAAACACCTCACAGAACACCCAGCATTCAAAGTCTGAAACACCACAATGGCAGGAAGTTGACTGAGGTATTTAACTCTTAAAAACACATCCTCTCTTTCTGTGTCCTAGACCACAAGATTTCAGACAAAGAAAAAAGGTCAGGCGTAGTCGTGCCCACAGGAGCTGTAATCAGTCATACTGCAGATACTACAGGGCTTTACATTTTTTCTAGTGTTTGCTGTTCAAGGCCGTGACCCCACGAGGAAAGGATGTTTTCTCCAGAGGAATGTCAACCTGCAGGCATAACTAACTGTCAAAAAAAATGGCAGAGATAACTGCGAAATAAAATAAAAAGAAAGGGAAAAGCATGCTTTAAGTTTGTGCACGGTGAAGTGTTTGACCCAAGTGTGACATAAACTCAAAGTCTGCTAAAGCTAAATCTGTTAACACACACTGAAGACTTTGTTTTATTGAGAACCTCCCAGCCATTGTTTTCTTACTCACTTTTCCTCGAAATGTACGAGCTAATTTCCCAGCTGTCTGAGGTTGAAATGTGATATTGTATGAGTGCAGTATATTGAGTAAATATAACTGTCACTACTAATAAAACTGACGTAAAACTTAAATATCTATATATGTCAAGAAAAGCAAGATAGCCCATCACGGGTTAATAGAAAGATCACAAAGTGGTGTTTTTTGAACCTTGTTTTTGGAGTTGAAGCAAGCTAGGTTGAACTACTACTCATCTAATCTACATTTTTTAAACATAATTTAGTGTAATTAACATTCAATACTTCTTTTATTAATTCTATTTTGTAGGTACAAATCTTGCTGTTTCATGCTCACCTGTTTGGGATAACCCCTCCAACACTCTCTGTGATCCCAGAACCACGGAGTCTGAAAGATCAAACAATCAACATCACAGTCTTCACATCAAACAAGCTCCAGGCCTAAAATTAACACAGACCTGACACACAAACAGAGGCATGCACTCCGACCATGACTTCACAAGTGATAAAGAAATATCCATGCATTACTGCTCCAACCCCAAACTGATGCATCATTGCAAACCCAGCATGTTTATTTGTGAAGTGAAGTGCAGTGTTGTTAAACACACTTACGTTAATTAGAGAAGCAAGCCCTGCAGTGAATGCTGCAAGGTAGAAGACAAAACGCCAGCTGTAGAGATAAAAATAAACACCATCATCTGTTAGAGGCTGATTTGAATAGAATGAATGAATGAAAATGATATCAGGAAGAGAATATTAAAGACACATGCATTACAGCAGTACTGTTTTCATGAGAATATGTTTCAATCCGACATGATGAATTCTAATAATGGACATTTTGTTTCTATAAGGTATTTAACAGCAGACTATGAAATTTTTATTCCCTTAAATGCTTATAAGAGGCTCATTTTTCAATAAAGCTTTTGGCCTGACAACATAAATACCATTTCTAAATATCAACCATCTGTAATTTTTGAGTGAAAGTGTGTCAAAGACTTGAAGGACTCACGAGGCCTCGCAGAACTTTTTTGTGTTACTGGGTCGATCCTGATTCCTTCTGTGTCTGAACCAGGTCTGGATCTTTCTCTGAGATAGTCCACACTGCTTCCCTAAGACCACAATCTCACTCTGCATGCACACAAACATAAATGTATATTGCTGTGTTAGACTTTTATGAACATTTGAGACGAGGTAAAGAGGTTTCCTGCTGCCTGCTGCACTCTCGCTCCCTGAGAAACAATATTTCATACCTGAAAAGTTACAACCAAGAGTCCCTCGCTGATGTCCCTGACAGCTGCGTTGCTACTTTATTACAGGAAAATACATATCATCCAAGTTGCATACCTGACCTGTCACACTGAGGACACCTACGATGATGAATGTAAACCTACCACTGTTCTTCTCTCATGATTCAGTCACAAGACTACAACACTTGGTCCAATGTTTCCTGCTTTCTCTTCCTCCATCCCTTCACTTTAAACAGGGTGAAAAGAAACTTAACACATCTTTCAAGTTGGAACTGAAGAACAGGAGGAAGCAATGGTTTATTTTGTTTCAAGCTAAGCATAGGAAAATGAACAGTCACACTCTACCTGCTCTGTAGTGAAAAATAAAAACAACTTCAAACACTGACGGTGCAACATTTTCTACGGAGCATGCTTATCAATCCATCTCACAAATCAATATCATACAACCTCATCTATTCTGTACAGATGTTTTACAGCTAAGGACTTCTGCATTTCTGTTATCTGCCTTTTACTTCTTAACTACAAAGCAGAACAACAAGGGTTTTTAACATGAGCCTCTGCTTCTGCTGTTGGTTCAGACCACATGCAAACAGGTGATTTGAATACAAGTCAAGGCGCACAGGCAAACACGAGAGGCTGATACATTTAGTCAGTCAAGTTGTGTCTTGTCTCGTCGCAGGTGTTGTAATACCAAACGAAACCATGAGGTTAGAGATTTCCATGAGAACTTTTTCTGACTTGCCTGCACCTGTTCACTGATTTAGGAAAAAGAATAAAACTTCTTCTTCACAGACAGTTAAAGTTCTTATTTTCACACACAAAAATCAAAACAATTTAAGTCATAAAGAAAAAAAACTGAGGGGAGAGGACAGCTGATATGGGAGCTGTTAAGTCGAGGTTATCATTTTACACTAAAGGGAGAACACCCATCTCATAAACAAACCTGTATCATGACTGAGGATTGTTCCTTTGCAACACAACACCTACAAGCTTCTGTGCGACTCATGTGAATTCAATGAATCCGTTTTACTTATCAGTTCCTTGTTTCAACACAGCCAACAACTCATCAGAGTAAAACTGTCAAACAATCAAGCTCTTCTGCTACACTGCTGCTGTTTTCAACACATAGTGACAAACTGTGAAGTTAATACTCGTGCAGAGTCGCTACAAAGGAAGCAATGCAATGAATATCATCACAAACCCGGTCAAGGGAACAAGACTGCAGACCAGCTGCTCGACACGAGCTGTGCAGCTGTGATGCTGTTCAGTACAACAGAATGATCCCAAGCATGTCACTGCTTTTGTACTTTAGTGGTAGATAGCAGCAAGAAGTGACAATCAACAGGTTAGTATCTCTTGTTTATGTTATTTATTATTTGGACTCCGCAAGCACAACTAGTTCCTCAACTTTGCTGAAATTGGAGTAGTACCAGACACAGCATAATCATATTTCTGCATGTTTTATATTTCACCAGACGAGCTGCCTCAGATTACTCACTTTTATTTATCATATATCTTTGTTTTTTATTGTATAATGGTGTCACTTTTGTTACTGATATTAGCATTAACACCTTTTATATAATCGTTCTGCTTATTAAAGATTTCGATAATTACTTTAGCAGAACTTTAGCTTTACTTTGGTATGTAGCCAGATTTTTTTCCCCCAACTACAGTTTTTATTGGTTTTAAATAAATTTAAAGTTAAGTCAAATTTCTTTAAATCAATAAATAATCAAACATAAATGAAGATCAACAAATTCTGTGCATACAACAACCAAAGCCTGCTAAGATGAGGACCAGTAAACACTGTTCAAAGTGAAAACTGACATGAAGGTTAATGAAGAGAAGGCAAAACAAGAATACGAACTTGGGATGGTTGCCGTCTGTTCTGTTTGTAGAATGTTTCCAGCTTTGGGACAGAAGCGGCTCGGATCCTAATCCGGTCCTTCACGCCTAAACGTTTGCTTAATGGGACAGCGATGAGCCTGAGAGGACAGAATGAGAGGAGGAGGAAATATAGTGTTATTTTCCAAGTCTCATCTTTAACTAACTGGATTATATGTGCTGAGGGATTAAGGTGAGATGACATCAACAGCTGTGCGATATGAACCTAACACAGTCAAGGGTCTAATTATGACACCCATGACAGTCTGTAGACCTGCTCCCATGGGCGTGACACTTGGCCAGACGGCTTCATCATTAGCTGATATGGCATCAAGAGACACTTGATCTGCATGTGCGCCGTTTACGCAGAGATGGAGGCAGTGAGACAGAGCCGCAGAGAAGAACAGGAACAATGTGTCACTAGTGAGATGTTTAGATAATAGAGTGTGTATGTGTGTGTGTGTGTGTGTGTGTGTGTGTGCAGGCTAATGCTCTATAATATCTGTGTAACTTTAGCTCAGAGATAATCATCCTGAAGTGGGAAGGGAGGGAGAGATCAGAGAGAATGAGAAGGTCAGGTTAGCTTTACAGGGACAAACATGTTCTCTGGTTACAGGAACCTCTACCACACACACACACAAACACACATGCACACATGCTCTCGTGCACACTCTGCCTCAGTAGAGAGAAACAGCTGTGGACCAGGATCATGAAAATAAAGACACCTTTTTCACCGTTCAGCTGACTGACAACCCCCTCAGGCCTGAGCGACACTTTAATACTGTCAGCACCAACACTATCAGGTACATGCTGGTATCTAATATAAAACATTCAGACATTTCCTTTGCAAGTGATTCATCTAACCATACTGCACTGCTGATTTGTCTATGATATATTGACACACAAGCCTTATAGTCCAACTTTGGTACCAATCGCACACAAATTATGTAGAGCAACTTCAGAGCGTTTTTCATCTTGAGGACAGAGACAGGGCTGATAAGAGAAAACATACAAAAACAAGCCTCCTATCAGTTCATACATCACGTCTCTGCATCATTGCACTGTCATTTTTCAACTCTTGTTCTGCTACCAGCAAAACTAGTTAGTTTACAAGCAAGTTCACCCAAGAGTTGACTTTCTCACTAGCCTTGTTTTAAGTAAAGATTAAAAGTCACACACTCCTTGCTACTTGTTTAAAATTTAACGAATTTACTGAGTCCTTGAATTGCTGGAACTCTTTGAAAAATCGTAACAACAAAAAACAACAACGAATTATACTAATACAACTCTACAGAAGAAGGGTTTCTCTTTTTCACCTCATGTCTGGGTTTCTGGACTGAAATACAGGCAGAATCAGAAGGGGTTTTATTGCCATTGTCAATTAACAGAATTCACAGACTAGGAATGAGTTTTGTCATGATGGTGCAACAATAAACAGAGAGAAATATAAAATACTAGAATAAAAACTAAAAAGAGCATAAAATAAATTTATAACGTATAAAAGTATAAAAATATAAAAGTATAAAAGGTTATGTACAATGCTATGTGCAATAAGTATAAGAGGCTATGTACAACTAAACAAGTCTCCTGCCCAAAATAAGTGTTTGTTATTGTTTTAATCAACTTAATTGTAAGGGGGTTTAAACATATTTTAGATAGAAATTGGAAAATGCAGCTAAGGGACATTAGAAGACGGTAAACATTGTAGGTACGGTACATTAAAGTCAGGTAAACGCAGACTGACTGTGAGGGCTGCCTCAGCTATTTGTTTTCGTCTAATAATTTCTTCGATAATTAAAACACTTACATAGTGTCTGTGAGTGTCTTGGTTATTTGTTATTGTTTTTCCAGATCAGTAATCACAAACATCAAAATACTGATCAGTTTATGGTCATCTACGTGGCATTTACGTGCCTCAAAAATGACAAAACTCCACCTCCTGTGGCTCCTGTTGTCAGGTTTGCCCATTGTTGTCATTTCATAATGAGGATAACACTCACTTCCCCTTTCCAGCTCAGAGGTGTTGCGACCTTTACAAGGCAGTCTCTAGATGCCTCAGCAGGATTGTCTTAATAAGCCCGACTGGGGATTTAAGGTCAAGTTTTTCCATTCACCTGTTTTGTCTTGCTGTACATCCACATCCACTCGTGGGTATACTTCCACACACAGTCTGCAGAGAATGTACAGCACCAGATAGCGTGACTGTGAATAGCACCGGTGGCTATTTCAAGTGAGTTTCACCCACTTTCTGTACTTTTCACAGAAATAACAGCTGCTGTAAAGAAGTCCCCCATAAAGCTGTCTTATCAGATCAATTATCCGCCTTCTCCCTGCAGCATTTACATCACTTCTTATAGGGCTTTTCCCTGAGGAGGAGGAGGGAAGGCTTTCACACAGTCAGCAACTAAAAACTGTCTGCTCATGATGCCCGCCCCCCACTAGCTGTCTGATCTACGCCCTCGATCTAATGAAGGATAAAGGAGCCATTATCCGGAGCCACACAGACAGCAAACCAGTTAGCCAGCCAGCGTGACCAGTGAGGTGAAAGAGGAAGTCAGGCACAAAGAAATAACCATTGTGCTTGACTGTTTCCTTGCAACACGTCATTTTTGAGTTGTAGGTCCACTGTAAACCTTTAGAGGAAGAGCTTATATCTAGGATTCCAGGGTTTAGCTGTGGTGGAAGCAGGTGTGTCTCACCTCTCAAAGACGTATCTGAGTGCTATGAAGGCAAAGGCCAGTGGCAGGGTGTAGATAAGATCCCTTGGTAGAGGAAAGCGTCCATCGGCCCCCTGCGTCTGAATGTCCTTCCAGCCGACACCAGGGGGGAGCCAAAACTTCTCCTGCCATAGCCACTCATTTAGCAGAGCCTCCATCCTGAGGGGAAGAGAAGAGTGTTAAATGTTGATCGTATTTACGCCTAAGGGATCCTGACAGAAACCCTGAAGAAGAGAGGCAGATTATTCATGTTTATGATCATTTTTCCACCATAATTCATCAGAACTTGTGACAGAGACCTTTAAAAGTTCATTAAAACTGGAGACATCATCATAATGGCTTTTGTATTCATCCCAACCCACATTTGATTGACATTATAAACAATATAAAACCTTTATATTTGTGAGGCAAATGCTGAGTACACTTAGCCATAAAAACTTGTCTTCTTTTTGATTTTTACAGGCTAATAAATAACTTGGTAACACTTAACAATAACCATAATTTATAAATGGTAAATAGATAGTTTATTAATGTTTAATCATCATTTAAAAACAGCATATAGACCAATTATAAATGGCAAATAGATGGTTCATTAATATAAGTTAATAGTTACTTTACCATTAACAAGCGATGAAATTATGGTTAATCATTTTCATTAATTATTAATGGACTATCTATTAAATGTTTATATAGGGTTTAAATATTGGTTGTAAAACATCTAGATGAAAATGTGTGTCAGTAGCACTTTGTAAATGGTTAATATTTGGTTTTTAAACCATCTATAAACATTACTTAGATGGCTATTGTATAGTTGAAACTGATGTTTGTAATACTAAATGATGATTAAACAATAATAAACTATCTGCTCACCATTTATAAATGGTCTACTTGCCATTAATAAGTTATGGTTCTTTTAAAGTGTTACCAATAACTTAAGCAAAAACATTATCCTTTATGGACTCATGCCAGGTTTTAGATGTACGCGCACACAAACGATTATAAACACATGTACGCCTAAACACACTGAGCATCATATTTACACTCTTATAAAGTCCATGATCAGTCCTGATTCATTAGAGTTTAAAGCTGTGATTCCTCACAGCGTCACATTGATTGGCATACTGAATTTAGCGGTACGTCAAAGCGTCCTCACAGCCTGCTGACAAGACAATCCACAGCCGGCTGGTGCGCATAACAGCGAGAGGCTGACAACCCCAAAACACACGCTCTGTCTCAATAAGAAGAAATAAACAAGCCAGACAAACAACCTGCGACATAATATTAGGATAAGTCGCACTAAATCTTTTGGCTAAAGGGAGGAAGACCATCAAATCCAAACCGACAGCCTCACCAAAACGTCTCCATCAACAAACAGCCTACCTTATAAAGCATCTATAGTGGATTTAAAAAAGCTGTTTCAAGCCCTTTTATTCCTAGATCAGCACAAACACGATATAGCTGTTACCTGTCGGTGCTCCGGTGATGGGGATGGGAAGCGCACAACGGCGAAAGGGAGAGGAGGAGCACGTTTGACGCAGCCTGCTCCTTCAGTGAGGGCGGAGAGAGGCACGTACTGTCATCATCATCATCATCATCATCACCATCTCCTCATTTCTGCGACGAGACAAGTGTGCGAGCCTCTAATCAAAGCAACATCGACGTTATGAATGACTTGTTCCCAGACGACATGCTGCGACAAAGCCCAGAAAAAAGCAAACTGGTTTGAATGTTATCTGTGTTTGGCTGACTACAGCTGTTTCAGGGCTTTCCCATGGACAAATGAATAATTTAGTTTAGAGGTTTTTCAAACAGCCCAAGTTTCTTTTTAAAGACATCTTTTCCTAAAGGTCAAGTAAGGAGTTTCTCACTGTTTCTGTAACCAACTTCATGTGATATTGATGCATCCATGTGATGTCCAAAAGCAAACAACTTCACTTTAGCAACTTGATTGATTGTTTTTTGTGCCTTGTACCACTGCTGCAGGGTGGGTGTCAGTAAAGCAAGATGCAGCATGCCCACAGAAAGCCTGCTGTTACTTATGTCACAGCACATTTTCAGAAAAGTGGAAACATTTGACTAGAAAGAGCAAAGATCATTTTTCATGAGGAAACATGCAGGATTAGACTGGTATAAAAAAATTCAAGTGTGACCGCTTTGCATATCAAGCTGGTACATCTTATCAAAAGAATATGTCAAAATCTAATGATTGCCATCAAACCCTACCAGTAGATACTGTCTAAGGCTTAAGGTTAAATTCTGACGAAGAATGATTAAGTTGTTGGTGCTCGGTGGTCGTCATCAGGAAGGAAGCCATGTTTTTACTGGCTGGATTCAGGAAACCACACCAAAGATGGTGGAGAAAGAAATGCTGCATGTACGTTTGTTGATTTTTTTTTTTTTTGATACATCCGTCATGAAACAAAAGTCAATGCTTGGAGAGATGATAAGATTAGAGGCTGGGCTCACATGACGCAGCCTTCCATACCAATCATACTTTAACAGTCGTCAGAGGAAAAAGGCTTTGAGAGGGACATACCCAACAGCTGTTTATGCAAATGATATATTGAACTTTCACTTTTTTTGTGTTGCAAAAACCTGGAATCTGAATCAGGATGTTAAGTTTCAAGGCAGATAGTTAGTCATGGGATCCAGTAATGGAAATCAGCATTCACATTTTATTTCGAAAGCTGTAAAATTCATCTTTCTTCTCACAGAGATACAGTTACCATCCTATGTTCACGGTGTCATATACTGTACTGTTGAATCCATTCACTAGTGTCTGTGTGTAGGTTCCCCTCAAGTAATAAAGGATTTATTTTCATCGTTGTGTTATCTTTGACTTCTTATATTTGTAGAGACAAGAAGCAGGGTGTAACTTTTTCAATATCCTTTAACTTGATGATTCAAGTCCTGTTTCACATCTACACTGTGACTGGCAGTTTTGTCTCAGTCCAATTCTTTACATGACAAAAATACAAACAAGGGTATTCACTGTTACCCGTCACACTGGCAGCTCTTTTACAAGTGCTTCCAGAGATATTCTCTTTTGGATGTAATAAGACAGTACATTGAATTATCAGTACAGTGCATTGCAGGAATGTATTGGCAATGCCTCGGTGCACACGGCTCAAAGTGTCCTAATAGGGTTAGCAGTAGAGTTAGGGTTTCATAGGGTTACCATATGCTATTTGCTTTAATTATTTATGCTTAAGAGTGCTTTGTTCTCTTATTTTTGCTAAGGTTGTTGTTCAGGTTGAAGGACTGAAGGTTAAAACACATGATCTGGAGAACGTGACTGATGACTCTGTTATGTTAGAGAGATGGAGAGATTTTTCTGTCTGCAACTGTGGAATTCTTCAGATAAGTTTGACAGGCCCTGCAAAGGGCTGACCAACTCATAGGTGAGTTTTTTGCCCCCCTGTCAACACAAACACATGTTGCATAAGGGGTCTCTGATGATGATTTTCATCCAGTCAGAAACTCGATTCAAGGTTATGGTTATTTTTTAACTTGAGGCTTTAAAGATACTTACAAGACCACAGAAAACATGACATGCTTCCTGGTTGACAGGTGTTACTGTATTGACATGGAGATACCATCTCTGCAACCAGGGCAGGGACACGTCCTCCCAGCTGGGTGTGTCCTCCTGCAGCTGCACATGTGTTGTGTCGGAGCTAATGTTTTTTTATGTCCTCATACCAGTATGGAAGGCAATGGCCCAGCCAGTGAAGAGAAAGAAAGCTGCAAAAATAAAAACACCTCATCAAACTGTAATTCAATGTTGGTTTTGAAACAAGAATATGTGCTTTAATGAGGGTGTTCATAAGCAAGTGGCCATGTGTTTGAGCCCGTGTGAATAATGAATCGTGTATTTCTGCACAGCCACTGAAAGCCTGCTTCTCTTTCTTACTCTCTCTGTGGGGCCCTTATGCCATCAATGGTGTTTTTTGTTACCTTGTACAATGCTGACCTTTAGTCTGCACTCAGCTGCCTTCTTCTTTCCTTGTTCTGTACTTTATCCAGGATTAGAGCTCTTTATTTTTTGGCTCTAGCTGCAGCCACAAGGGGGCAACAATAATATGATTTGTGCAGAAAAATATAGCAGGTTTAGTCCTTTAACGGTCTACTCTCTGGCAATGACTCCTTAAACAGTCAGTGAGCTGGTTGGCTAAATAGTTGGTTCTTCTGTGGTGGCTATATGGAAAACTAAATATATCTTTGAAATCAGAAGTAGGTCTTTGGGACAGTGATAAAATCTTCTATTACCACTTATAGTGACCGGATTCAGACAACAACTTTGATAAATAATCTCATCACACTGCACTCACATTGATACGCCACCAAATAATCTCCAAAAAGAACGAATAAGCTCCGCCAAAGTAAACCGCTAGTATAATAAGTTCTAGTGCAGCATTACTGCCCTGTGCTAAATAGTACTTTTTCTGGTTTAAGTAACAGCTGACGCAAATGCTGTTATTAAATTTAAATGCTGCACATAAAGCTAAAAGAGTAAATAACATAATAAATTACATAATAAATGTAATTTCACATCAAAATACAGCTAAAGTTAGCCATATTCTCCAATTAACGTGTGTTTACATGCTAGCATTTTCTACAAAACTCAAGGGTCAGCTAGTAGCTACTGAGGGGAACAGCAATTTTCTGGCATTTTGTTGTCAAGTAAACCAAAACATCGAAGCATGATTACAAATTTTGAGTGGCCTTTTTAAAATAAAGCTTTACAATTACATCACAATAGTGTTCATCCTTTAGATAGTTGTTGAGATATACAGCAAGCAGCAAAGTGGGGGGACCATTAGCTGGCTCACTGATACAAAAACAGTCAGAAACTGATAGGGCCACACTTCTTTCCTGGTAAAAAACATGAACATCATCGATACACACCCACTGTCTCTGGGCTTTTCAAACTCTGAGCAGAAGGGACCAAGGAGGCCTCTGCAAGACCCTGGTCCCTCACTATGCACCCCTCTATCTGGGCCAACAATAATACAGCCAGGGAGGTGGGGAATGCGCGCAGGAAACCAGTGCTTCTCAGCAGCAGTGACGGCAATGGTGGCTCTGAGCCTGGCTGAGCTGAGGACCTGCTGGAGCACAGTCACGTTTCAGCCGGGGCCTGGGGGACCCCTTCAGGAAATACGCACATATACACATACACACTCCTGTTCCCCATGGGGCCCTGACTGGGAGTTACATGTGCACAAAACACACGTGCACATATACCTTTTAGTTACCCATTGAGAGAAACAAGAAAATGTAAGCGGGTTGCACACTCGATGATGCTTGTGGTTTGTTTTTCTCATATTGTTTCTTAGTCAGCACACACACATGAGCCACACACACTCTTTGGACCCTTGTGATGTCTAATATCCCCCTGGTCTCCTTGAGTTTTGACAGTCTCTGTCATCTCTCTCCTCAACTCTCTGCCAGGTGTTCTGTCAGCTGCAGCCACAACAGAGCCTCTGTTCTCAGCTCCCTGTGGAAGACCACTGGAAAGCTTTCACATGCACAGTCTTTGTCTGTGTTTACCTTCTTTCTCCATATCCCTCTGTGCCCCTCCCTCTATTAATTTCTCTTTGAGCATTCCTGAAGCTCTCCACTGTTGTTTCTCATACTTTTTGTCTGTTGTTTTTGGCGTCAGCTCTCCCTGGGACCCCAAGAGTGAAGCTGGTTGGCTCCCCAGCTCTAAGCTCTAAAGACAACAGTGTGTGGCCCCCTCTTCTTTACACACACTCTATCTGGAAGAGGACTAACACAACAAGGAAAGGCGTACAGTAAAGATGGTGCTGCTGGGGTAATTGGAAGTCTTCTTCAGGGACGAGGCCTGACCTCATTTTTAAGTTAGTTTAAAGATTGTTCTCGCTGTCCAGCAGAGGGCGCCAGACATCGCAAGATGTGCATAAGCCAAAGAGCCTCCTTTACACCAAGGTTGAGGAGCTATTGTCTCTGGAGAAGTTTACTCGCCTTCGGTTGTGGAAAGTTATACAGTACATGTACTCAAGTAATATGCGTTTTAATTTTTGAGCACTTGTAACTCACTTTCCATCTGAAGCTACTTTATCGGTCTAGTCAATCACGTCTGTGATAAATGCAAAATATTTTTTTCCTCCACGACATTCATGGAAAAACTTGGGGTTTGATTGACTGAGATGATACCAAGACTTAAAACATTTTATAAAAGAATGCTACATTATTGATTATTAAACATGTTTACCAATCTTCTGGCCAGCAACATAAAATAAATAAATAAAGAAAGAAAGGTAACTGTATTTGGTTGGAGTTCTTTGTTGTGTTTGAGGTATGTATGAGTTGTAAGAAGTTTTCTCCCACAAATTTTAAACAAACCCACTTTTCAGAGCCAAGACATAAAACCGTCCAAGTCTGACACATGAACCCAAGTTTGTTTGGCTGAACTGTGTTTTTTCTTTGTTCTAGCCCCATTAATCATCTCCCAGACTCTCAGATTTATCTTATGGGCCTTTAGAGGGAGTCTGGCCCCAAATTACAGGATATTGAGGTCAATTTTTGAAATGTTCAGATTAAAGGAGATTTGCTTTCAGATGCAAAATTTGCTGAAGTCGTTGAACTTTTGATATCAGGGTTATTGGGGTGAGGATTAAAATTTTGAACTGCTTTAAGTTCAACAATGTGTATTTCTTTTCTCACAATGTGTAGATGAAACCCATTCTTTCTTTGTCTTTAAACCATAATGATCCCTCACTTCCAGGAAAGTCATGAAATTTCAACGATATTACACTCATATTTTCTGCAGAAACCAGACATTTTCCAGCTTCCTACACTGTAATCATGCATACTCTCGGGACTTGTAATTTGCTTTAAGTCTTAATTTTAAACTACTATGTTGCTGAGAGATCACACCACATCCTCCAATCAATTTTATAGAAAACTAATAAAAACACAAAACACAACAAGAATAAACAACATAAATTCCATGTGCATTGAGTGTGCCAAGAGAATGATGGGAATTCTCAACCAGTTGTATGGATATTCCTCCAATCGTATGTGTGTGTGTGTGTGCTTGGTTAAAGAAACATTGCCATCCTTGAAGGGCACCACAGGAGGTAAACATCATTAAACTTCAAGTGAGGACGTTTGATTGTGAAGTAAAAAGACGGCTACAAAGCTGCTCTCACTTGCCTGTTTACAACTTTAATTAACAAGCAAACACAAAGTCAGATGGCGGTTACGTCATCACTTGCATAAGGCTCAGGAAGTATACCTGGAGGTCACAGTATGTAACCCTCCTAGACAACAAACCAATACTGAGCATTGGCCTCCTCCTCTTGTTACTTGAGGACCAAGTTTTAAAGGTTATTGTTCTTGTAAATAAAATTACAGCAGAGAAAGAAATAGAGCATATTAGATTCATTAGCTTTAACCCAATTAGATATTTTTTATAAAGGTCAGATTCTTCATCATGTTCTTCGTGTTCTTCATGTGCAGCTGTGGTTGGAATGCCAGATCTGATAAAAGAAAATTCCTTTTAACAACAAACAGCAAAAGAGTGGAAAGCAGAAGAAAACAAGCCTCAATATGCAAACGGCACCGTGACCAAGGAAAGGGGATTTCTTCTAACAGGATGATCCCAAAATATTCTGTATATCTGAAATGGTAAATGTGCTATGTTTGGTTGGTTCTTCCTTCACGAGGACACTATGGCATGTAGACAGCCCTAGGATCAAACCCCTGTCCTCCTAATTGGGAGACAAATGACTCTACCACTCAACCACAGCGGCCCCATGACCGATAATAGAGTCCTCTGACAACCTATATGCAAATCTATCTGCATAAAAATGGTACGTCCTGATATAGCTTCGAAACTGTGTCAGCGTTTTACCCATAATTGAACTGGATCTGCTCGCTAATTCAATGGTTTCTCCCTTGGCTCTTGCTGCACTTTTATGAAAATCAGGTCATTTTTCTCCAATATTCTGCTAAAAAACAGACAAACAAACAGCGTCGAAAACATGACCTCCTTGGCAGCGTCAAAAAGAATAACAAAAGACATGTAGCGAAATGGAAATTTCTTAAATACATAATTTCATAAAAGCAATGGCAACAGATATGGACAAACAAAAGCCATGTATCACATTTGCAGTTACTTAGTTTGTTTATTTCAAGAAATACGAAACATTTTCTACCCGTTCTATGAAGTCTTTTGTTTAAACTGGTTGGAAGTCTCCCACCCAGTACTGGTGCATGCTCAAACAAACTCTACTTGACAGAGGTTTGTAATTTGGATATTTCAATGCTGGATAATGACCAAGTGAAGGAATCAAAGGTGCCCCAACTCTCACCTCTACACGCTCAACTTGTACCTGCAGCTCACACCCAAAAGCTCTGTAACGTCTGGAAAGAGAAGCCAGGTGAAGCTTTTCCACCTCACTAATGACCTATTATTACAGTACAGCTGGTGCTGGGCTGCTTTGGCTGGGGTCAAAGGTCACATGTATTAACTGATATGAGTCTGTTTCATGGCATTCCTCAGCTGTGATGGCTGACCTTTTTCTTCAATTACCTGACTGTGGGATTTTTTTTAGTGACATTGTTAAATTATTGCAGAAATATATCAAATCCTATATTTTCCTAGTTCTCATCATCTTGCTTGGATAAGTGAAGGACTGATTTCGATGAACTCCTTCAAAGATTTATTGTTGAACCAAATCCTAATGCCGAAAACAGCCATGATTGACAGATTGAGAGCATGACATTTAGGGGTCGCCTTTTGTGTAACCTTTTACAGAATTTATTAGACAGCATGGATGATGCATGGAGACAAGAGCAATGACTTCTAAGAATTTGTAGAAAGGAACAACAGGGTGTGCAGATGGAAAAAGGATGTTTCTGACTGAAAACAATTTATAGAATATTCTTACAACATCAATAAGACCTGCTGCACTGTGTTTTACCCTGGAGCTTTCTTATAGTCAACCAACTCCATCAAACCCTCTTTGTCATAAAACAAATTTTGCAGACTTTAAGATACTGTGTACTTTATATGTGGTCATGAAACAGACTGCAATTCAAATCAGTGCCCCTTTATGAGCAACAGAGGCAAATAGGATCATCTGCATCAGGAAAGATCATTGTAAATGTTACATATCTGAAAATCGCAGCTGCAGACTTTGTAAGTTAGAACTAGTGCTGTGTCGTTCGCGAATGATTCATTCAAAAGAACCAAATCTTTTAAGTGACTGAACTGAACTGAATCAGTGATTCATTCGTTTTTCACTTCAGTCGAGCTGAAGTGAAAAACAGCATTGCCAGTCGAGCAGCCGGCGAACGAGGGACTGCATGCACCGACACCTGAATCACTTAGTGAACGAATCACGTATTGAACTACACTCTCCGGAATCATTTTTGTCAGACAAAACTACCTTTTTTTATTTTTACAGCCACCACAACAACTCAATAGGACACAGCATGTAACAAGTAGTGCATTAAACCCGCACCATCCTACCATTGTAGCGGTTTTCGAGGGAACGGTGCATGTTCGGTGTGAATGTTCAGTGAACAAATCACTCACTGAGCCCAATTTACCGAGCAGACCTGATAAATAGCATACCATAGGACAGTACACTTAAAACATCATGACTTATAAACAAGTTCATTTTTACAAACCTGTTTGCCAAAGCAACATAGCCAAACAATCTCATCTCCAAGTCCTAGAAGCTATGAATTGAACTGAATCCTGAACCGTTCAGCTGTGTATCAGTTCAGGAGGTCGGAGTTGCAGGCTTCCCCTTTTAAGTGATTCAGTGGTTTGGTGAACGAATCTTTTGAACGAATCTTTTTAGTGAACAGATTCTAGTAATTCAGTACATCTAAAAGGACTGCTGTGCCCATCACTAGTTACAATCCACTCCAGTTCTGCTGCAAATGTTCAATCTCAGCAAATTATCCACAAATGTTAGGGAGAAAGATTTGATAAACTGCTTTATTCACCAGGTGCTCAAAAGTTGGTGCAAATCAAAAGTTCCTCACAGGACCTTCAGTAAAAACAAGCTGTTATTTTGGTGAATGTTGCTCAAACGGTTAGAAAACAGTGGATTCCTTTGGGGCTAATTTTAGGCATGGATTCCTGCATAATCACAAGTTTTTTTGTCAGAAGATTAAATGTGTCTTTCGGCCAATGTAATCCACAGTAGTCGTGTTCATTGTGACAAAGAGACATGTTATTCAACAGTCAAATTGTTTTAAATCCCTTTTGGACAGCGTTGATACGTGACAATGGAAGGAGCTGCATGAGGTTCTGGTAACAGGAAATACTTTTTATTCCACCAAGTCCCGTGTTTGTTTTGGTCTTTTCACTGGCTCTGTTGTTTTCAAGATAAATATAGAACATATTTGGCCAGTTTTATGCTTAAAAAATCCATGCATAATCATGTGTTGTTGGGCAATCAAACTAATATTTGGAAACAAGGAAAAACAAATCTGGATTCCAGAGAACTTAGTCTCCAGAGGAAAATGGGAACCATCTTTGTTTGCCGTGTTACATTTACACACATTGTGTCTCACCATGAGGTCTCAGATTCTGGTCTCGCTTTGCTATTGTTTTAAAATTCCAGTCTGCCATCCTCCATGAGCATTATCCTAAACCCTTTACCTTTTCCCATCAATCTGTAACATATCATTCAGGCGTTGGTCTAGCTCCAGCCCCTCATATTATTTTATGTCTGGATAAAGGTTCAAAAAGAAACCCCCTCTGCTAAACCTCTTTGCAGTTCTTAGAGTAGATCCTCCTCCCAGCTGCCCTCAGCCTCGTCCCTTTATCTTTAACAAGTCGGGACGCGCACAGCTGCCTCTCCCCACCTCAGCTTCTCATTGTCTTCCAGTGACATCATTGAATTACTCACAGCAACACATCTTTCATCATCATTTCAGTAATGATTATCATTATCATACCACCATTAAGGTCTCTAAGGCTGCATCATATTTGGCTGGCTTCCTCTGCAGTCTGGAGGGGGGAAAAAAGTCTTTCGGGATTACAAAAGATGAGGTGGACAGACTGGTGGTGTTCAGATGTAGGGGGGTGAAGGTAGAGGAGGATGGAAAGGTGCTGGGGCTGGGGCACATAATTTGGATGCCAATGGAAAAAAGCTGTAGCCAACAGCCGCTATTACTTAACCCTAATCATCTAAGGATAGGGAAGAATCTGCCACCTGAATTTGCCTGTCCCTTCTCATTGTAATCTCATTATTAATAATTAATATTATCACTGAATTATTACCATGATCTGCTCTTTCCATCCCCACAACAAAAACAAAACCATTTTGACAGAAGCTGCTGTTTTGATTCTTCCTCCCACGGCAACATTTATTTGTCTTTATGGCTTTTGAAGTGGTTTAAGAAAATTACAAACTACTCCTTTAACATTATCTCATGTTTTATAACCCAGCTCACTGTCTGAGAGGGTAATGACCATCCTTTATTCACAGTGACCCACTTACAATGAATGCAATGATCACTCAACAGCAACACTGTTATCTAAAATTGGCATTAACAGCTGGGAATGGTCTCAGAAACCTATAAAATTGTTTTCTCTGAACACACTCATTGTTTTTCTTGCAGGTATGCTACACTCCAAAACTGCCAACATTTGTGGCGAGAAGAGATATAAGTCACTCTTAAACCCAACTGCAGTATGATGTATGTTAGCGTTGCAAACAAATGAACTTTTTCCAACACCATTATTCCAGTGGCTGTGCTGGTTGAAGTTCTTGTGCAAAGAGGCACAAAATGCAAGTACAATGTGTTGATGCTGCACTAACATGACAAAAAAGTTATCTGTGTGTATGACATTCATGTAAGATAAGTAATAAAGGCAAATATTGAATGCATTTTGAGAAAAGGCAAAAATACATCAATTTGTCTTCTACATATGTCGTCAACTTAGAAAGTGTTTTCAAAGATTTAACCGTAAAAAAAAATTTACTTAAGAAAACATGAGCATCTGGGTTGAATATTTAAAAACATTTTAAGTCAGCAACCAATTATGCTGGGTCAAATGAACCCAGTGAGTAGTTGCTTCCAATCGGATCCTGCAGAATAGTTAAAAACAACCAATTACAAAAGTTATAATTTATCTGTTTGAAACCTGCCACATGATTATCTATAAAGTTGGGTTAATTTGTGTCGTAAGTGCAGGTTTAACATTCACATTGCTGTCTATGATGAAAATGTAAGATGTTTAGTCAAGAACCTTGGGGGTTAAAATAAATAGCATATGTTACATGTCAATCTGATCTCTGCTGTCACCACAGTGTACAACAGAGGCACTCAACTGGCTGTTTTACTAAACTGGCCCAGAGGTCTTAAGTCAACAGCTCTTTTGAGAGTTTAAACAGCATAAAACCTCGCGGACAAACCCTTAGACTTGGAAATGACCATCACTTTCTGGGACCTTTCTCTTTATTCTGTTGAACTTCTTTAACCAAACCTGTGTTGTTTCTCTTTTTTTTATTAGAAAGTCTATGGTTGCAGTAATTAACAAATTTTATGGTATCTCATGCAAATCCCGTCGTAAGATACAAACCAACTGCATGCTAACAGGTTCTCGTTGAACCCATAGATGCATTCCTCATTATATTTTCTCCCCTTGTTTTCCACTTTCTTATCTCTTCATCTCCTCTCCCCTTCCTTTGCTCCTTTTCCCCTCTTTTCTAGGCTCCTGACTCCTGCTGTGTGTACAAAACTTGACAGATCCCGGTCAGGAATTTGCCCTATATCACCAGAGTTGGGGCCCGTAGCTGTAAATCACATGACCAGTATGTGGGAATGGCCATAATGAAGATGGACGGGCTGAAGAAAGAGATGCTGACGGAGCTAACAGCATTCCTCAGACGAGTGCTCAGATTTCTGTGATCAAACACACGTATACTCATGTTTACACCACTCTGCCAAGTCATTGCAAACTATAATGTAAATATAACCTGATTTAACCCAACTTCCCCGTTTTAATTTAAACAAAATTGCATTTCAACGCAGATGCAGGCCTGAGGCTGAAGTCTGTCCGACAATTTCCCTTTCTACACATACAAAAAAGCACAAACATAGTCGCCTTGGATTTCCTTTCTAGCATTTTGTTTTCCCTTCTCTGACAACACAAATCTAGTTGGCCATATCAGATTGTTTCTATTTGTTGACAAAAGCGTTGTCCTGAACATATCTACAATGCCCACATGTGGAGTCTTTGTTTCAGTTAATGACGCAAAATAGGGCAAAGTATGCAAATCAAGCTAAACAGTGTGATGATGCAGTGGAGACTTTCAAAATCACAGAGCCAACCACCAGCCTTCAACTAGTACCAGATGTTGAAGACCATGTTATATAGAAAGCACTGCGCACACTTCCTCAGCAAGACCACACACCTCTGCACTCACTTCTCAGCTCTTTGCATTTCCAGGCAGCATTACAGGAAGTCTCAGAGAAAGGATGGCCAAGTTTACACCGTATTAAGGACCCATTTCAAAGCATTTTTTCATGGCTTTGGAACAGCAAGAATTCTAAGAACCACAAAAATGATGCACTGGCAGCTCAGCTCACATCCCTTTTAGAGTTCAATGAGTTTATTTCAGGCTTAACTACAAACACAAAGCAACAAATATTGACTCTTCCTGGTCTCGTGTCATTCTTTAGAGAGGGGATGGTAGGACAAATAGCTGGACTGACACAGCACAGCCTTTCATCCTGAGAAAAAAAAAAAAAAACTCTCCAGCCCCCCTAGGCCTGTCTGCTTATACACCTACAGTACTGCTTTCTCCATGTGGGGGGCCCCAGACACTTCAAAGTGCCCCTTGTGGGAACTTCAGTGGGGTGACAAGCGGCCACAGCCCAGCTGAGCAGGATTACACTTGTCAATGCCGAGCTGACACATGTTGGAGTCAAAGTGATGGCAACTTCTTGTTCTGACTGAGTGAGAAAAACAGACGTGAAAATAGATAAACATGAGTAATCTGTTTAAGGCAGGAAATGCATATGTATGCTGTGTGTGTGTTATGTTAACCAGCCTCTTTTAAAAATTCATCCGACATCATTGGCCAGTTGGCTCTTTTATAGGCCTCTGTGTTGCTGAAGTATAATTGATCATGGCCAAAAGGAAAAGCTACAATGCATTCCTTTAGTGTAACGTTACTTCCCCAATCTGAAGTTTTTCCATGTGTACATGGACAGTTAACACTTGGCTGGATGACCAGGTTTTGCATGCTGAGATCCAGCCGTTCAAAGAATCCCTTTAAATCCAAAAGAATGACAAGAGAAAGGAGGTTTTAGCATTGATAGTCTTATTCAATATCTGAATATGATCGAAAACATGTCCAAAAGATGTGGACGCTAAAGGACAAGCTTACTAAAAGGATTCCCGTAGCTCGGCTGTCTTATCCCTTCAGCAGAATGGCTGTGTCCAGTGTCCACGTGAGCTGGAAACAGAAAACAAAATATAGTACGACAAAATATACAGGCTCAACTCCCCTCCTCTGACAAACAACAGCAAAGGTTTAACTATTGAACGGTCATATAGGACAATTAATAGGAAGTTAATGTGCTGCCATTTCTGCAGTGATGTCTACACAGATTATCTGGGTGTTGTAAAGCTATCTGTTCTACAAAGTTGATTAATTTTCAATTTTTAACTTTACTGTCTTTGTAACATCACTTTTGAAAACACTGTAGGCGCCTTGTGGAAACTCAACTTTGTAAGCTTTATAGAATAAGTAGTACAAGTAGTATTCTCTGTAGTACATCTTATCCTGCTGTCTTTAAATAGTCAAATATATCACTCTCTGATGAGAAAAATGAAAACTAAGACTGTTTTTCATTAACTTCCTGTTATTCATAGTCGTTTTTCACGTGTTTTTCACTGTATAGAAGTTGTCAATCTTCTTGCTGATGTTCTGATTTGCTTTCCAAAGTCATACAAATCGGTTTATATTCATTTTGGTCTGTTTTGTATCCAGTTAAAAACTCTTTACAAGAGTTATAAATAAGTTTCCTACAAAACAAGAAGACCTGTGTAACCCAGATTAACTGAGACAGATAAATGAGCTCTGAAATGATGTGTATAAACAACACTTAGTGTCATGATGTGGCCGACACAGCTGGCCACCTGATGCGTCCAGCCTAACTACCCCTCAGAAAAGGCCCAACAATATTGACCACACAGCCTTGTGTAGTGTGACCATTTGTGTATGTTTGCAGTTCAAAGTGTGAAAATTGACTCATCATCCCTTTGGATCTTCAGATCTTTCCTCTTGTCACAACGTATGCTCTGTGCTGTTCCTACACTGCCCCCCTTCCCTGTCTTTTGGTTTGTGTAAAACTCCTGGGTGGTCCATTGATACCCAGCTTTAATAGGTCTCACAGCATATGCGTGTCTCACAGCAATAGAGGTTTTGACCCTAAACAAATGTGTCACAGACAGTCGAGGGGAACAACAGAATCTGTTTGTGTTGATAGAGGGACGTGACTTCGGTTTCCCATACGGAGGATAAGAGCGGCCTTTTCTTGATTTGTTTTATCAGAGTTTACACTGTATATGTTTTGTTTAGCTTTAATGCAGCACAAACTGACGATTTCTTCCAAAAATCTTCACATATTTGTCTTCATCGGGATCTGACCCCTTGTCTTGTTATTGTTGTCTCTTTCTCCTCTCACACACTTACATTGCAGATCAGTCCCGCCTCTACTTTCCTCTTCACCTCTGTGATCCCACCCTCATGAAAACAGCTGCAGCTGAAAAAAAAAAAAAAAAGAGGTGAGCGTGAGACAACAGCAGGAAGGACTGGAGGGATGGATGAAAGGTGGAAGGAATGCTGATAGGCAGGTAGGTTAAGAGGATGTTTCAAGTATCTTAGCATCTGTTGTCCAAACCTCTAATGATCACAGTGCAGCAGCAGCAGTGAAGACAAGAGAGGGCAGCAGGCTGGCTGCTAGCTGGACATCCTGTTCTCCCATTTGTCCCGAGTACACCTGCTTTACAAGAGTTTCACACTCATAAAAGAGCTTTTTGTGGCTCGCTGACCCACACACTGGCAACACAAGTACACACAGTGCTTCTACATGTATGTGCACATATTCAAGATGACAAAACACACAAGTGGATCACAGATGCCTGGTGGAAGTGACATTACGTTGAATTTACTCTTACTAATCCTAAATTCCAAATTTGCATAATTGTTTGAAGAATCCAAATAAACAAGTAAATGAATGTGAGTGTCGTACATCTTTACACTTTCATGATCTGATTTCCTACTTTCTCCACCTGTTCTGCAGACACCAAACACTCACGGATAAACATTTATTCTCATCTGACAGAGATTGATATGTGTTTGTAACAGGAGAGGTCCGGTGTGCAGATGGAGAAAATTGTTCAATCTCCACTCATCATAAGTGTGATGTGTTTAGGCTAAGATTTTGCTTTGATGGAGTACTTTCAGTTTTTGGGTCACAAACCTCTGTGGTCATCCAAAAGCTGTACTGTTGATGTTTAATTGATCAACAAATCATTGTCAAAGTGAAGTTTTTCTCTCTTTGGATGATCTCATGTATTAAGCCTTTGCTGTTTGTTCTGATTAAGCAGCATTAAATGTTGGATTAGTCATGGGAAATTGAAGGAACCTAAGAGGTTATTCACAAAGTTTTAATGTGAAAGTTTTAATTCACAACAAATGTCAAAAAGCAGATTTAGACCATGTCCATTGTTAACATTGTTTACAAAGACCAAACATTAAGAAAAGATATTATTAAATCCTATCTGATTCCACCATGAGCAGAGCACTTTTCAGCATTCAGCGGGTTACAGTGACTGGGAAAATCTTCTTTTTAAAAGGCAGAAACCTCAAGCACAGCCAGACTCGTGGTGAACAGCCTGGGCTTGGATAGAGATGCAGGGAAAGATGACTAGAGACAAACAACATGAAGTCAGATAGAGGATAATGAGGGATAATAAAGGCAGGAGCTCAGTGTGCTCGTACTCTTGACAGTCTAGACCTGAGGTAGCATAACTAAAAGTTAGAGCCAGCTGGAACCGGCTTTAAGATTGATCAAAAAGGGGAGATTGAAGCCAACTCTTTAAAGTAGACTGGGTGCCTACCACCTGAACAAACTGGTAGTTGATTTCAAAGAAGAGGAGCTTGATAACTGAAGGCTTAATCTCGCATATTACTTTCTAGAGACTTTCCCCATGAAGAGCTTTTTAGTCAAAAGAGGGATTTTTGTTTACAATTTACATTCTATTGGGAGTCAGTGTAAAGAGGGTAAAACAGGAGAGCTGGGCTTTTTTCCCCTCTTGATCTGGTCAGCACTCAAGCTGCAGCATTTTGGACCAGCTGAAGAGTCTTTAAAGATTTATTCAGACAGCCAGATATCAAAACAACCCAACCCAGAGCTCCATGGTGCCAGAATAATGCCATCAAAGGCAGTTAATTTATTAGCAAAAATGTCTCTCCAAGGTCTTGTTTGAGTCAAGCAGCAAAACATGTCTGACCATTCAGGGTCTTAATGTCTTCAAAGCATACTTCTAGTTAAGTTAGATAATTGGTTTCATCTGGCTACATTCATAAGTACAAATGAGTGTTGTCTGCAAAACGCTATTTCAGGAAGTGTTTTCTAATTATTTTACCAAGTAGGATCTTATATAAAATGAAAAGAATTGGTCCAAGTACTGAACCTTGTGGAACTCCATCACCAAGCTTGGTCAACTCAGGGGACTTTTCAATAACGTATACAAACTGAGATTGATCTTATGAATATGATACCAAGCTGAAGCGGTTCCTTGATGCCAATTAATTGTTTGTCTCTGACAGGATGTGATGGTCAATTATATCCAATGAAGCAATAAGATCTGACATAAGAAGTACAGAGAGTGTAAAGAGTATTGACGCCATTAGATATCTGTAACTTTCACCAGTGCTGTTTCAGGGCTATGGTGGACTAAATCATAAAAAAAAAAACAGTTTCCATTAAGAAAGCCACAGAGCTGATACACCTCTACTTTCTTCAGGATTTTTAGAATAAAAAAAGGATTACATGTAGGCCTGAATCAAAAGGAGTCTTTTTGAGGTGAGGTTTTTAATAACTGCCACTTATTAAAATTGATGTGGTTTAGGCTGTCAGTAAAGACATATTAATCATAATGAGTAAACAGGAGCTAACTTAGGGAAGGATCTCCTCCAGGACCTTAGTATAAGGTCTAAAAGACAGTATGATGGATAAGTTGAGGAAACTTAATTTTACTGTAGTAAAGTCAAGGTATATATTAGGTTTTTAAGCCATTTCCAGGATATCCGAGAGAAAAATACATACCAATAAAAATTTCGATGAGTTGACTTCTTCACTGCTCATTACTGTTTTTTGTTTATCACTGACTGAAGCAAACTTTAACCAGAAGAAACAAAGAGATAGTGATCTTCATACAATCAAGCAATAAGAGTCCGCATTTGAAAGTTGCAGGAATGTCTAGAGTGATTCACATCAGCGTATTCCCTTGTCTCCATCCAAGTTTTTTCTTTTCTTCAGATAAAAGCGCTAACTGGACACCAAGTATCAAATGCCAAGTGTCAAATAAATACTGAATTAGACCCCATTATCATAGTTATGATGAGGTCAAGAGGTTCAGCAGGGTGTAGGTCAGACGTGTTTATGGAAGACATAGAAGAAAAATGGAAGTCATCTGTCTCTGTTGTTCATGTTAACATTTTTGGACAACACTTGACCCAGTAAAGCTTGACTGCGCTTCTTTACAGTTACACACCGCCGGGCCAAGACAACAGCCACTTCACTTGTTTGACGATGGGGCATGACTCACTTTTCCTGGAAGATTTTGCAAAAGTTGTCTCTCTATTAAACAAATATGTATAGAAGAACTGTTATTGTTATGTTCTCATACAGCCCGGGCATTGTCTCCAGGGATTGACAGAAAACATTCCTGTGAGTGAAGGGTAATAATAACAGAGTATACAAGCTACTGAGAGGTCATTTCTACACAAAACAACTCACTGCTTTAGGATATTGAATTTCCCTTTGGGGATCAATAAAGCTCTTCTTATCTGTTATCTTATTTTATACGTATAATGTATCACAGTTATTTCTTTATGTTCATGAGCATATTAGGCTCCAGAGAAATGCATAGCATAATCCCCTAAACAAATCTTATGTTAAAATATAGGGATTAAAGTGGATTTATGGGTGCAATTCAGTAATGCTATAATACCTTCAGGATGCTGAATTCTCCAAGGTGAATTTCAACCTTTTTATCTACGACATAAATTCCAGCCTTTTAATACATGAGTCTACAGTAAAGTCCAGTCCTACAGGTATATACTGTGTGTACTCCAGCAATGGACAAATGAAAGCTCCCGTGGAATGGACATGACACGTTTATTGCACACTCAAGTGAAAACTTATAAAAGGAAGGGGGAGGAAAGAGATATCAAAGTAACTATACTCGGGTTCTGCTTGATAGATTGCTCAAAAACCTAGACACCATTTCCTTTGGTGGTGCTGCTGCCCATCCCCCTTCAAACAGTCAACTTCTGGGGGAGATTGGGCCTCATTTTTCATCCTTTTTAACTCAGTGGCATAAGTCATTCTGGAGGACCACACCCAGTATAGACCGCAGAGACTGGGCTTGGGGAAAACGTTTGGAAAGTTTTATTGGAAATGGCAAAATAATATGTGAGTTGAAGTTACTGAATAGCTTTACACAGAATTTTATTTCACATTCCCAGCCAGTGTAGCCACATGTTTAAAGAAAAAAAACTCACCTTCATCTTGAAGGTGAGATTGTTAATACAAGAAGGCTACAAGCCACTTATCCAAGAGGGATTTCTTGTTGGGTATTATCTTTGCAATACTGTAGCTGCTCTTAACTGCCCTCTTAAGCCACAGGATGGAAAACAGCCATTTAAACTGTACTTAATGGATGTTGAGAATCACAATTACAATATAGGTCTAATGGGGAATCCGTGAGCCCATTCCATGCTTTAATAAGCAATACCGAAGTGAGGTTGCATTCAAAACCACAAACCTTTACTCTGTTCATATAATCTATACAATTCAAATATACCATGGAGACCCAATACACTCCAACTTCACTGTATGCTGTTTGGTGCACACAAGGAATGTCCTTTTATGTACTAGTTGGGCCAAAACATTTTAGCATGGGACAGGAGCTCACTGGTCAAGCTCATCTGCCACAAGATGCATCATTGCCTGTCAAACTGAATCACAAGTATGTTTGAAAACTTTTGTTGAATAATGACTGACATACAAACTTAGCCAGAAATAAAGCCCTATATGCACATGCTCTCTGGAAATGCATTTGTTGTGATTGACAGCATGCAAACACTCAGATCATAATGCAAGTGGGTCAATACATGGTCTTGGACACAAGTTTTCTCAGAATCTGGTGGAGACGTTTGAATCGTTTTACAAATGTTAGTCTAGCTAACTGACACAAAAAGTTCACAGGATCTCCTTGTAATTTCCAAGAGGGTCTTGAAAGACCATCTAAAAACAGTTTTTATAGGGAAACCTAGAGCAGGGCAAGAGGGGAATGTGGGTGTAAGAGGTGAGCTACTTTTCCTGTTGGTAGCTCAGCAACTGTTAGAGTTTCCAGGAAGTATACCAGCCCAAAACAATGGACCCAACAGCCAACTTTGGACAGAGCTTGGCCTGTTTGTAACCCTTAGCTGAGCAGCCTGGTAGATATTGGCTGTGTTAAATGGATTGAATTCTCCCACAGTATGGACCTTTTCATAGAAATGTCAGACACAGATGCACCTCTTCAAATATGTCTGTTTCTGACTGAAACTGAAAGTGTAAAAATGTTGATAAATGGGGACTCCGTCTGTCACCTCACAGCTTTAACAAGCTTTTGGCTAAGAGAAAACCTGGGGACCACAGCACCACCCTGCACCCTCCTCTGAGGTCAACTTTACAGTTGGAGCGAGAAATGACCTCACCTCA